ACAAAGAGATGGCTTTGTTGTTCCAAAGATTGTTTTGTTATGTCAAAGAAATCTCTCGTCCTTTTTCTAAAAAATGTTCATCGGAAGATATCAAGATCTTGTTGATAAATATTCCGCTGTATCCCAATTTTTTACATATTTTACATATTATGTCTGTTTGTTTTGTTCACACATTGTTGTCAATATAATGGAATTTTATGCAACTGTCATACAAGTGGGAGGTTTAGCTAGCTATGAAACTAGGTTTAATCCTTTCTACACAGGGAAATGCCTGTACCAAGTCAGGAACATGACAGTTGTTTTCCATTGAATTTCGTTTGGTGTGTTTGAGCTTTTGATTTTGCCATTTGATAAGGGACTATCCGTTTTGAATTTTCATTGGACGGCGGTATTTTTTGTTATTTTACTTTTTGCTGTTGGTGATACGCACATAGTGTTGTAGTACAGCTGGGTTTTTTTTAACATAGAGTTGACGGGGTTAGCATGACGGTTTACTTGTAAAAAGCGTCACATTCGACGTTAGCCATTCTTGCAAGACATTTGCCGATTTTTTTATGATTTTTTTTTTCGGTGGTAGTGCTTTTAAAAATCAGGTCTATCTATATCTACTTTTGTGAGCATTATCTATGAAATTTCATAGTATCTTAGAATTATTATAACTTACCGTTTACTGAATATGACCATGGTAAAAACTTAATTTTTGCAGCAACAGTATTGACTGTTGCATCAGCGGAAACTCAGTAATGACGTCACAATTTATATATCTGACGTATATCAATCATGCAAGTTTTCTCGTATTTCTCACACTCTGGAAAGCACAAACACGCTAGTAAAAGTTACTATGCGTATAGTTTGTTACTTCTGATAAGCATATTTTTGATGTTTGGCTTATAGTTTTGTCATTTAGTAAAACTATCAGTATAAAGTGAGATAAAAATTTATTGATTTTTTGGAAACAGTTATACATGCCTAGTCTAAGGATCTAATGCTGTTAAATGTTTTGATTAATAGAAGAACTGTTTATCAGTGTGGAATGCATGATTTCATAGTATTGACGCAATAACGTGCGTAGCATCAAAGCGGCTTTATAATGGGAGATAATTCATACAAGATAGATTTATATAAGAATTCACTGTCAAGTTTTTATCACTCTTTTATAAATCTATCTTTTCTGTTATGTAGGGAGGTAACCTCGCTTCCTCCTTGAAATTTTTGAAAGCATTCTTTCCTTATTGTTTGTTGTATTTTTGAAAATAGTATGATTTAAAAACTACAGGGTGACAAAAGCATTAAAAATCTATTATGGTAGTTTATACTAAAATCCGACCTTAAGCTAATACGTTATACATTTTTCGGCAATTGTTCCAATTATATGCATTCCAACCATCAAATCTTTGATTTAATTGTTATATTTATCTTCTGTAACAGTAAGAAAGACGGACGTATTTTTTCAATCTACCTTCACGTTCCCTTTTTGAGTCCAAGATTCAGTAGCTTCGTTGCGTCGTTCTAATTGAAACTTAAATAGTTGGAGAAAAAAACTTATACAATGACATACAATGTATTTTAATATGGCATGTGCTCTAAATAGTCATAAAAGAACTGCGTCACTAAAGGATTTATTTCTTGGGAAATAATTTGTTCCAAAGGAAATTTTCAACTATACTCGTGGAATATACTAAAGTTGAAGGTTCCGGAAGATGTTTTTGGACAACTGATCGGACATTTCTTGATCGTAACAAATGAGTACTTACTTTTACATATTGTAAAACTAGTAAAAAATAACTACTTCTGTTTTTATTTATATGGGATACGATATTTGTTTATATCATCAAACAGTTAATAGAGGGACTTTTGCTACAATGAGTAGAATTGATGTGATTAAGTTCGCTTACTTACCCAAAATATATCGTGTTAGGTCACTAGCGCACTGTGTATCTAATAGTATAGTAATCCACGACCGAGAATATTTTCATTAATTCGTCTACAAATCTGCTAAAGAGTATTAATATTGAAATCAACATTTTGTATATAATATTAGTTTATATAGTACCTTGTATGTTGATGATACATTTTGCAGGTAAACGTGTTGGTCTTCTGACGTTTTCTTCGCTATTTGTTTGGCACTGCATGTTGAATTTTAATCCTCATTTCTGGTTAGTGATTAAACCAAAATTTTCTAACTCCTGTATAATGACTATTGATGATCTAGTGTCGGCTACTCTTGGTTCATTCATTGATTTATTCTTTGGCCTGTTGCTTCTTATTCGTTTACAATTTGGGCATTTCAGACAGCTTAAATTAGCGCCCATTGTATTACTTCAAACGACGTTGACTCGTCACGTCAAGAAAGAATTTTTAATGGTATATATATATGAATCTACTGTCACGTCTCATGATGCACATGTACCAAGGTTCGACCCCCGAATTGTTCAGGAAAAAAGAACTTGGGATTGTATATATGACCTTACATTGCACAATTGACGTTTTAAGTGCTTAAGCACGCTCATAGGAAGAGCAATGGCAATTTTAAGTAAAAAAAGTTGAAAATGAAGTTGTGGTTTTTGTCCATCCCTCAATAGAATTTGAACCCATGCTTCTGTGATCTCGTTACAACTCCTTTTGCACTAAATCTAGCGATCTAGACCACTCGTCTAACTATGCTTTCTCAAAATATAGCTTTCGTTAATAAAGTGGTGTCTTTCCTCGTCATCTTTAACAAGTTGTAACACAGTACATGATGTATGGTAGCACGTAGATTGAATACCTTGCTTATGAGTTATTTTTTCAGTCGTATAGAACAATACTTATTAAGATTACTGCCACATCAAATTATAATGTGTTTTTATTTTAAACTTCTTTTAATAAGTGGCATTTCTATGACTGACATTCTGCATCGGATAACCAAGGGTAACATTAGGTCATACATCACAAATTACCGGTATGGTATCCTTCGACTGAAATATAGCCCAAAAAATGTTAGATATGTAAATTTGCGCATTGCTGTTCGCCTCCGATCATAACGGCGTCGAAATTCTATACTGCGACTGCTAACAATGAAATGACACGTATACCACGTAACATTCATCCACAATGTTTTCCCTTTTAAAGTGTTTAACGTTATACTTATAGTATAAGCCGAATTCACTATTCGATATCTTGACTCAATGGACGATTTGTCTTTGGAAATGCACAGGACTGTTGATGTCGCTTTCTATGCAGTGCTTATTGTGCCCCGCGCGACGCGTTGCGTTCCCATGACCTCGAATTTTAATTGAAAGGAAGATATTTTGGTATTCAGGCAGAAAATAGATTATTTCTTATGAAGCAATAATCTTTGAATCTGATGATTGGTTAATTACCAGGGTGTAAGTAACACCCCACCCCAGTTCACCCTGGGATAAAATGTTGCCACATTTAAAAAATGAAATTTTGCAAAAATTAAAAAAAAATGTAAAATTACAACTTAAAATTTTTTTTTTTTTTTAGAAAAGTGAATACAAATATTTTGTAAAATTTCAAGAACATTTTTTTCTTCAAAATTCAGAAATTTCCGATTTTGTTTTTTTTCCCAAAAAATTCCCGAAGATAAAAACAAAATAAAAAAAAGGTTATATTTGACAATGCGCAGCAACAAATGTGTTGAAAATGTGTAGTAGAAGAATTTTTCAATTTTATTCCACGGTATGAAATAACTAAAGGAACGCTTCATAAGAAATAAATTTGCTCTCTTGGTGCAATCAGGGGTGTACGGCTGTGCCTCAGGGTGTATGAATTTACAACACCAGTGTAAAATTCTGTACACCCCTGATCACACCAAGATAACTAATAATATTCAAGTTGTTTAAAAATTCAGTTTAGGATAAACTCAATCTAAATAAAGAAAATAACGTGTGTAATATATTTGCTATAAAATAATACAATCCAGTTTCTATAACTAATTTATTAACAAGTACATCGTTTGATGGTCAGACTACAGAATGACAACATGTGTATAAGAACTTCAATTGATCTATTTAATTATGTTTATTTAAGAACGTGCAGACATGTGAGAGTTGCTGATCTGTCAATTATAATTACTGTAACAGATGATATGGTAATAAAGTGCGGTGAACTTTATAACAACGTGGTCTATCTTTATATTATCATTACGACTGTTTTTAAAAATACACACACACCACACAGAATATTTTTGTAGTTTCTTGATTTCCATCTTAGACATATATAAAGGAAAATAACTCAGATAATCTAATTTTATGAAGAAATATAAAGTGATTTTACATATTTTGTTTTGTAATAAGTCAAAGTTATTGAAAACGAATTCCACGACCCAAATTTTCTTAAAGCAAATTATAAGAGAGGGTGTGGATGGGGTTTACAGAATAGAGAACAATGGGCAAAAAAAAATAAAGAGTAGAGATAAATGGACAAAAAAAATAAAGAATAGAGAATAATGGGGTGCTAAAATATAAAGAATAACTGCAAAAATTAAAGAATTAGGTAAAAACATACTGATTACAGAAAAGAACAATGTCCAGAATACAGTTATCAAGTAGAATAGCCATTATTTTTAAAGATAAAGAATAATGAGATAAAAATAAAGAATACAGAAATAAAGGATCCCCACCCATACCGTAATAAAAGCTACCGTCTAATAATTTATTTAAAACATTATACAGCTTATTTTTCTTTCTATTTATATTTGGAATAGTATATTAACTAGTCAATATATTATGTCCCTGATTCACACAAGACTGGTTTGTCAATTGATGTATAATCTATAAAAAATCTGACAAATTTCAATAACCTTTAATAAAAAATTAGCTTGAAAAAAATCCAGGAATAATACTTTTTTTTAATATTTTTAAAAAAGCATGCTATACATAACATTATGGTAAAGTATTAAACAGTTCTACAATTTTAAATTTAGATCCACCATTTAACGGAACGGTTAATAACGGAAATGCGTTGTGTTTACGGAAATGGTGTCATGTTCTAGGTCTTTTCTAACGCAAGGGACGTCACCCTGTATTTTGGCGAAATATGTCATTTCAGGTCATTTTGACTAATGACTTTTTATAAATCTTGCATCTATAAATAGGACACTAGGACCAAGGATTTTCCATACTATCAAAATCCTTTGAAGGACACAGTTGAAAGATAAAAAATGGATGATACAGATTTACCCGTTACAATATCCGTTAGTTTTATACTTCAATTCAAAAGATCTTTAGTTCACTACTTTCATTTTAAATCATTGAGGCTTAATATACACCAAACTGTTATTTCTGGTTAAAAAAAAAACTCGCATGCATGCAACTGTAGATACCCGATCCAACTACCATATATATGGGTTCTAAACCTCACAAGTCTCGTGATAGTCGAGTAACAGAGTAACGTTGTCTTGTACATGTAGATCATAATGTGCCAAATAATGTTATTTCAAATCTGGACAAGACTTACTGTTGGACATCTCTTAATGTGTCATATGTCTCTGAAATTTTGATAAGGTCTTTGTGAATGTCTTTCCAAAATCTGTAGAGATAGTACACAAGGGCGGATCCAGAAATTTTCATAAGGGGGGGGGGGGGGGGGGGGGGGGGCCACTGACTGCCTAAGAGGGGGCCCGTTTCAGTCATGCTTCAGTGATTCCCTATATAATCAACCAAATTTTTCCCACAAAAGGGGGGCTGGGGCCCCCTGAAAAACCCTCTAAATCTGCCTCTGGTACAAGAGAATGGTAACAGGTCTATTTGTCATGGTTCTCAAATGTTCTTTTTGCTCTTAAAAGTGGGTTGTTTTTGCTATGGATTGTCGAGAATACGTGAATAAAGGAAGAAAATGTTCTACATGTTATAAGTTGTAATCTATGTAGAATGCCAAAGTATACAAGTGTGTAGCGTCACAAAATCTTTACGTTATAATATATGAAATAAGTGACGTTCCCACGTTGTGTTTGTGCCGTATTTACAACATTCTGGGGGCAGTAAAAAGATAAAATTCTGTATACAATACAATCTCAAATGTGAATAAGAAATTATAAATAAAAAATATCTGGACGCTTGGAAATCAAAGTCTCTATGTATAGAATTAATGTCTGTATAGTGGTATTAAAATTTGACACTTAGCGCTTAATAACATTAAATTAATAGTCATAAACCAGTCTAAAACAAGATCAACCAATCAACAAACATAAAGATAACTTCAGTGTAACAAAGACAGTTTGAAATACCAATACTTTGCAAAGCAATCGAAAATTGGATTAAACTACCATTCAGAAATATCAAACCAAAATTCCATTGACAACTTCAAGGATGCACACACTAATGAAGTTCTCCATGAAACATTCTCTTACCTTAGCTAAATGTGCATATTTTTTATCTAATTAATTAGAATAGGATATTTATTAACTTTAAAAAGTGTTTTGCATATTGTGTACTAAAATACATGTAAAAGTACAAACCATAACAATGAATTGTATTATACTAATGTGATTGAGACATATGGGGACTGGTACCAGTATTTTATGTATCTATAATGCATGTAAAATATGAATATGAATTATATAATTTAAAAAACACATACAAAAGAGGAGCTATAAGATCTCAAAGTTCAGTATTCAATGTAAAAGATGAATATAAGAAATGTGCCAAAAGTAAGAATATTTACAACGTATAAAAAGTAACCCAACTGGTGGTCAAACTATTTCATAAAAATAATTCAAAATTAAGACAACAATGTCAACAATGTGGCAAATCAAGATACATTGTATGCTTTATTTTTGGGTTGTTTTTTTTTTAATATAGAGTTTTTTTTACAAGTATAATATTTCTTCTAAATTTACAGATGCGTTCCATCAGTGACTATTTTATTTGCTCAATATGTATGTGTTCAATGAAAGAGACACACATGACAAAATGTGGCCACAGATATTGTGTAAAGTGTATACAAGAATGGGTGGATCGAAGGCACAAATGTCCATGCTGCAACACAAATCTAGACAAAGATCAGCTCATTAAAGACCACCAGTATGATAGTCTTATTAGTAAGTGGTGACTGTCTAAAAAGTCTATTCTAAAAAAAGAACAAGTAATTAAGTAAAACGGCCATTGTAAAGTTCTTATTGGTTTGTGATGAAATTATTGGCCATATTGTAATACTTTTAATAAAAGGGAAGATCTCATCACATCACCGCCATATAGCCTTTTGCATTGATGCAGCATTAAGCAATAACCAATTAATGAATCAATCAATCAATAAACCCAAGACAACAGATAGAGTACAGGTACTAATGATAATGTGATTTTGTTAAATTCCCCCATTTCTGATGTTGATCACAATTTAAAAGGTTGATAGCTGATGATTTAGAATTAGAATACTGATTTACAACGCAGACATTATCTTTTCAATAATTCTGAAATACCTTTTTAGCTCACCTGGCCCAAAGGTAAGAATACTAATAGGAATAGGGAATAATTATTAGCAGGATAAGATCTACAAATATGTCAACAAGACTGAAATTATCAGTTAACTCTTTATAGAGTTATTCCCCTTTAATGATGATTTTTATGCCCCCGTCGTATCGGAGGGGGCATTAAGTTTTACCCTTGTCCGTCTGTACATAGGTACGTACATACGTCATTATGAAACTTATACACAATGCTAATTAAAACAAAACACAGATCATGTTTGAATTTTGGTGGCGTCACTTTAACCGTTCTAGAGTTATGCCCCTTTATAAATGGAAAAATTGCAAAATTTTTAGTTTCCGTTATCTAACTTAAGTTTGCCTCAACCAAATGTTATGAAACTTATACACAATGCTTATTACCACAAAACACAGATCAAGTTTGAATTTTGGTGGTATCACTTAAACCGTTCTAGAGTTATGCCCCTTTAGAAATAGAAAAATTGCAAAATTTTAAGTTTCCATTCTGCAACTTAAGTTTGCCTCAACCAAAAGTTATGAAACTTTTACACAATGCTTATTACCACAAAACATAGATCAAGTTTGAATTTTGGTGGGGTCACTTTAACCGTTCTAGAGTTATGCCCCTTTATAAATGGAAATATTGCAAAATTTTTAGTTTCTGTTCTCTAACTTAAGTTTGCTTCAACCAAATGTTATGAAACTTATACACAATGCTTATTACCACAAAATACAGATCAAGGTTGAATTTTGGTGGGGTCACTTTAACCATTCACGAGTTATGCCCCTTTATAAATGGAAAAATTGCAAAATTTTTAGTTTCCGTTCTCGCCTTAAGTTTGCCTAAACCAAATGTTATGAAACTTTTACACAATGCTTATTACCACAAAAAACACAGATCAAGTTTGAATTTTGGTGGGGTCACTTTAACCATTCTAGAGTAATGCCCCTTAATAAATGGAAAACAATGCAAAATTTTTAGTTTCTGTTCTTTAACTTGAGTTGCCTCAACCAAATGTTATGAAACTTATACACAATGCTTTTTACCATAAAATACAGATCAAGCTGAATTTTGGTGGTGTCACTTTAATCATAATTGAGTTATGCCCCTTAAAAAATCGAAAAATTGCAAAATTTTTAGTTTCTGTTCTGCAACTTAAGTTTGTCCCAACCAACATTATGAGACCTATACACAATACTTATTACCACAAAACTCAGATCAAGTACAAATTTGGGTAGCGTCACTTTTATCGTTCTTGAGTTATGTCCCTTTATAATGTTGTATGCAAGCGGGGGCATCATCTGTGTCCATGGGGACACATTCTCCATTTATTTTTCTTCAAAGTGGCTATTGTTGAAGATGCAGGTGAGGGATACTGGCTCTAGTTTGCGTTTTGCCTTATATGAAAATTAAAATAGATAAATAGAAATTTAAATAGCAAAAATGATCAGCAAGGCAAGATCTACAAACAAGTCAAATTTTGCCGATATAGTTAAAAGACTGTCCCTCTTTATAGGAGTGATTGCCCTTGAATTAGAATTTTTTAACCTCTTTTGTGTTTAGAGCAAAAACTAAAGAAGATAGAGAGAAACTAAACAGGCAAAACGATCAGCAATTCAAGTTTAACAAGACAAGATCAACAAAATAGAGATTTTTGTCATGAATTCTATTCTCGTCTACAATGTTGGAGAGTGTCCATTGTTGAATATGCACAAAGACCTAGGTGAACAACACAGGCTCTTTAGAGCCTCTAGTTTTTATACGACCGCAAAATAATTTTGTGGTCGTATATTGGTATGACGTTGGTGTCGTCATCGTCGTCGTTGTCCGAAGACACATTGGTTTTTCGCACTCTAACTTTAGTTTAAGTGAATGGATCTCTATGAAATTTTACCATAAGGTTCAATACCACAAAAGGAAGGTGGGGATTGATTTTGGGGGTTATGGTACCAACAGTTAAGGAATTAGGGGCCAAAAAGGGGCCAAAAATAAGCATTTTTGTAACTTCCAGACATAACTTGTGTGTTAGTGTATGGATCTCTCTGACATTGTACCACAAGGTTCCATATCACAAAGGGAATGCTGGGATTGATGATGGGGGTAATTGCCTCCAAATTTTAGGAATTAGGGGCCAAAAACAAGCATTTTTCTAGTTTCATGACAATAACTTGTGTGTAAGTGTATGGATCTTTATGAAATTGTACTACAAGGTTCCATATCACAAAGGGAAAGCTGGAATTGATTTTGGGGGTAATTGCCCACAACGTTTAGGAAAAAGGGGCCAAAATAAGCATTTTTCTAGTTTCCAGACAATAACTTGTGTTCAAGTGTATGGATCTCTCTGAAATTGTACTGCAAGGTACCATACCACAAAGGGAAGGCTGGGATTGATTTTGGGGGTAATTCCCTAGAAATTTGAGGAAATAGGGGCCATAAAGGGGCAAAAAAACAAGCATTTTAGTTTCAGGACAATAACTTGTGTGTAAGTGTATGGATCTTTATGAAATTGTACTGCAAGGTTCCATATCACAAAGGGAAAGCTGGGTTTGAGTTTGGGGGTAGTTGCCCTAAATGTTTAGGAATTTGGGGCCAAAAAGGGGCCAAAAAACAAGCATTTTTCTAGTTTCCAGACAATAACTTGTGTTCAAGTGTACGGATCTCTCTGAAATTGTACAGTGACGGTCTATACATGTGAATCTCCCGACGGGAGTACAGTAATCCTGTTTTCAGGGGTCTCCTCCCGACCTACCGTTGAAGACAAAAAAAATCCTGTGTATGAAATATTTCTTGAATGAAAAATTTCAGCCCAACATATCTGGTGTAACTGACATTACCTGAGGTTATATTTTACCTGTAAATCAATTAACATGCATAATTATTTGGCTTCACTTGTCACCTTGGGTGTCAAACATACTGGTAATCAACGATTTTTACCTCAGGCTAACTGCCGTTGTGTAATAAAACTTTGTGTATTTAAAATGAATGTTGGGTTACTTCCCTTGATTTATTCTGTTTTAAGTTACTTTCCTTTAAATAATGTAAATTTTTAAAAGAATATAAATAAGATATAAATTGAACAAATAATCATAAAAGGATGGTAATTAAATGATTTTAAATGTCTTAGGACAAATAAAAAAATAATAATTTGAAAATTATTTGAGGGTTCTATACTTCCTTTCAAGGCTTAAATTGAAATTTATATAATAACTATGACCCATGATTAAAGATTGGATGTGTTACTTATCACGCATTAAAAATCTACTTGCATAAAGATAAAAATAAAAGATCTACTTGCAGATAGATAAGCAAAGGTTCTGATTGCAAAGAATAATGGTAAAAAAGATATTACCTAAAAAATTTAAAGAACATACTAAAAAAGAAGAATGTTAGATTGAACAAGTTGAACGTTTAAAAAGATAGAGAAAATTTATAAGTACAAGGGTACTATAAACATAATACATTCGGATGGAAAGTTGAAGAAAACACACTTTAACAGACAATTTCTACAGCACACGGTTACATTTACGACAGAATTTATGTCGATTAAAAACCCCCTGATCTGAGTCCTAATCTCCTGACCAAAATTTCCCAAACTCCTGATCTTAGTTTCACAGTCCATCACATGTACAGTACTGCAAGGTACCATACCACAAAGGGAAGGCTGGGATTGAGTTTGGGGGTGATGAATCATAAGGGGGTTCAAAAAATTTGGGGGGGCGGGATTTTTTTTCCTTTTTTTTCTTTAAAATTTTCCATTTTAAATTGGTTATTTCTGATTTATATATAAAAGCAAATAATAATGATATGGTTTGAATAGATAAATTAAAAATTTTTAAGTTCTTAGACCACATTCTTTCTGTGTCAGAAACCTATGCTGTGTCAAATATTTAATTACAATCCAAATTCAGTGCTGTATCAAGCTTGAATGTTGTGTCCATACTTGCCCCAACTGTTCAGGGTTCGACCTCTGCGGTCATATCAAGCTGCGCCCCAGCGGAGCATTTTATTAATATATATTCTATTAATGAAATATGCATCACAAAAAGCATGAAAATAATTTCAGATTGAACTACCCTATAGTGCCTTGTTTCACAGTATTAAAAGAATTAGTGAGGTTATTTGTACTGAATCACCTAACACATGCCTAAAGAGACATTTTCACGTGTGGTTAAAATTTAGGGGTACCATAAGTGGTTCAGTTTTCTGCAATTTAACAAACCCTGACTGATGCTTTCTGTTGCAGCTTCACCATTTCAGTTCTTTGCAAATATTTCATAATTCCATAGTGTTAACATAAATGGTTAAGGTCATGAGTCAATTATTTAAAAAGTTACATGTTCAATACCATTACACATAAGTCAATTATTAAAAAGCCACATGTTCAATATCATTACACAGATGTTTTGTTTACATATCATAAATGTTTTCCTCACTTTGAGAAATACATGTATTGTTATTATATTGTAAAATTTTAATTGTCAGAGTAATATTTTTAGCTGATAAAAAAAATTACATGTACATTTGAACATTGAAGATTAGAATTTCACTAATTTCTGTACTTTTAGGTGCTATACTTAAAGAGAAAGAGAAATCTGAAGAAACATATTTTGAATCACTTATTCACTCCAGTTCAGGTAATTTATTAGTCCATATTCTCCTGGATAATAGTTGCCATAGATAACTTGAAGCTAACCTTAACAAAACATTGACAACAAGGAAATGTTCAGCTGTAAATAAACGTGCCTTTATTTATGCATGTACTAGTTTCAATTTATTACTTTGTTTTTTAATTGAATTAAGCCAGTTTTTAGCTCACCTGGCCCAAAGGGCCAAGAGAGATTTCTCATCACTTGTCTTCCGTCGTCGTTAGTCGTCCATTCAATTTTACAAAAATCTTCTCCTCTGAAACTACTGGACCATATTTAACCAAACGTTGCTACAATCAGCATTAGGTATCTAGTTTTTAAAATGTGTCCGATGACCCTACTTGCCAACCAAGATGGCTGACATGGCTAAAAAAAGAATTTAGAGGTAAAATGCAAATTTTGTCTTTTATTTGGAAAACTGTTTGAGAAAATCTGACAGGGGCACAAATGTTCAGAATGTTGAGCTCTACCAACTGTCAGGCCTCTTCTTATAGGAGTATTGCCCTCAAATGACAAATTTTACCATTTTTTTCATTTTTGCCTATTATCTTGAAAACTATAATAAAAGAGAAACTTTTAATAACAAAAATGATCATTAAGAAAAGTTCAACTAATAAGCGTCATGGTCTAATTCGTCAATCGACTCTTTATTAGAGTGATTACCATTTAATGATGTTTTTTACCAATTTTTTGCATTATTGCTTTATATCTTAAAAATTATAATAGATAGATAGAAATTTAAATAAGCAAAAATGATCAGCAATACAAGATCTACTACAAAGATAATATGGAGGAAATCGTCCTATGACTCCTTATTGGAGTTATTGCCCTTTAATGACAATTTTTACCAATTTTTTTGCTTTTTTTCTTTTATGATGAAAATTATCATAGATAAATAGACACTTTGAATAACAAAAATGATCAGCAAGGCAAGATCTACTTACAAGTCAATTTTTGCATGTATAGTTAGTAGACTGTCACTCTTTATATGAGTGATTGCCCCTAAATGAGGATTTTGTTCACCCTCTTTGGTGTTTTGAGTAAAAACTAAAGAAGATTTAGAGAAACTAAACAGACTAAATGATCAGCAATACAAAATGAACAAAAAAGAGATTATTGTCATGAATTCTTTTCTCATCTACAATGTTGGAGAGTGTCCTTTGTTGAATATGCACATAAACCAAGCTCTTTAGGGCCTCTAGTTGCCTTTTATCTTGAAAACTATTATAGATAGAGAGAAACATTAAATTGCAAAAATGATCAGCAAGACAAGATCTAGGATTAAGTATGCATGGTTGTAATTGTCAGTAGACTCCTTATTGGAGTTATTGCCCTATAATGATGATTTTTACCCTTTTTTTTTTGGTTTTTCCTTATATGATTAAAATTATAATAGATAAATGGAAACTATAAATAGCAAAAATGATCAGCAAGATAAGATCCACAAACAAAAATTATCAATAAGGCAAGTTCTACTAACAAGTCAAGTTTTGCCGATATAGTTAGTAGACTGTCACTCTTCATAGGAGTGATTGCCCTTAAATGAGGATTTCTTTACCCTCTTTTGTGTTTTGAGCAAAAACTAAAGAAGATAGAGAGAAAATAAACAGACGAAATGATCAGCATTACAAGATCAACAAAAAAGAAATTTTTGTCATGAATTCTATTCTTGTCTTCAATGTTGAAGAGAGTCCATTGTTGATTATGTATATAGACTTAGGTGAGCGACACAGGCTCTTTAGAACCTCTAGTTTAGTGTTTCATCAGAACACACTGAGCAATGCCTTTTTATTATATCTCCTTACTTCAATTTTGTTCTACTGAGCCCACTAGAAAATTCCTTTTCATGGCAGGCTTTTTTATGTTGAATTGTGTGACCTTGCATATATGATGTTATCCATGAGGTCATGTTCAATATAGTGACAACTCTGACCTGACGATATCAATTACTTTTTGGTCTGACATGCATAGAAACAAAGACATAGATCAAGGTAAACACTCATTAATACTATACTAAATCCATTATTAGAATAAGTAGGCTTTCTGGTCCTTTTTAAAGCTTTGAAAAAATTGGCACAAATTTTCATTATAAAAAAAATTCGGTTTTCAAATCAGAAGTACATTTTTTGTCATTATATATGTGTTTAATAACTTTGTAAAAATTACCAGCTTAGTTCAATGCATAACAAAAAAGATGATTTTTTTTATTTTCAGGTGAAAATTGTATAAAAATGGAAGAAATAAAATTATCACCTATTGAGGCAGTTTTCAAAAGTAAGTAATTTTTTTCCCCGTTCTGAAAGGAGGGAGTTAAGCGGTTTATGTCTGATGCATAACCACTTCCCTTTTTATGCCCCCGCCTTAGCGGAGGGGGCATTAAGTTTTACCCTTGTCCGTCTGTACGTACGTCCTTCTGTACGTCCCAAAATTGGTTTCCATTCTCTAACTTGAGTTTGCCTCAAACAAATGTTATGAAACTTATACACAATGCTTATTACCACAAAACACAGATCAAGTTTGAATTTTGGGGGTGTCACTTTAACCGTTCTAGAGTTATGCCCTTTATAAATGGAAAAATTGCCAAATTTTTAGTTTCCGTTCTATAACTTAAGTTTGCCTCAACCAAATGTTATGAAACTTATACACAATGCTTATTACCACAAAACACAGATCAAGTTTGAATTTTGGAGGCGTCACTTTAACCGTTCTAGAGTTATGCCCCTTTAAAAATTGAAAAATTGCAAAATTTTTAGTTTCCATTTTGCAACTTAAGTTTGCCTCAACCAAATGTTATGAAACTTATACACAATGCTTATTACCACAAAAAACAGAGCAAGTTTGAATTTTGGTGACGTCACTTTAACCGTTCTAGAGTCATGCCCCTTTATAAATCGAAAGATTGCAAAATTTTTAGTTTCCATTCTGTAACTTAAGTTTGCCCCAACCAAACATTATGAAACCTATACACAATATTCATTACCACAAAACTATGATCAAGTACAAATTTTTTGTTTCTGTTTTCTAACTTTAGTTTGCCTCAACCAAATGATATGAAACTTATACACAATGCTTATTACTACATAATACAGATTAAGTACGAAATTTGGTGGCAACACTTTTACCATTCTTGAGTTATGTCCCTTTATAAACATAAAAATTGCTGAATTTTTTAGATTGTCTCAACCAAATGTTATAAAACCTATACACAACCGTTCTAGAGTTATGCTTGTTTACAAATAGAAAAATTGCTAAATTTTTAGTTTCTGTTCTCTACTTTAGTAAGCCTCAACCAAATGTTATGAGACTTACACACAATGCTTATTACCACAAAACTCAGATCAAGTTCAAATTTGGGTAGTGTCACTTTTACCGTTCTTCAGTTTTGTCCCTTTATAACTATATGATATGCAAGCGGGGGCATCATCTGTGTCCACATGTGGACACTATCCACATTTATTGTCAAATATTTATATATTTTTACACTTAAGCTTTCAATACCTCATGTGGACAGGTGCATTTTCAGATTCATCCCTCATCCACCCCGGTATTGAATATTTGTATATTTAACTCATAATGACTATATATGAAGTTTTAACCCTTACCATGCTGAATTGTTTTCAGAAATTGTCTAATTTTCGATTATTTGCAAAAATATGCAAATTATATGCAAATGAGCTGTACCCTGATGCTGATGCATATTGATTGCATTAAATCTAAGATAGGGAATCACGGGGTGGGGTGGTCGGGGTGAGGAGGCGGGGAGGGTGGGCTGTAATTTGCCCCAAACGTGGTCCTCAGGTGCAAAAGGCGTCAATTTTGACGTTTTTACGTTCTTTTTCTCGTCTTGGAAGTCCGAGGGATGCAAAAGGCGTCAATTTTGACGTTTTTACGTTCTTTTTCTCGTCTTGGAAGTCCGAGGGATGCTAATAGATGCATCAAACTGTAGTTTGCATGTAGGGTGGACCCCAGTGAACACATTAATCACAACAGTTGTTAGGTCGGAGTGAAACTGATCTGGGTACACCAGTCTAAAAAAGGTCATTTGCACCAAAATTCTAAAAATTTCCGACTTTTTCCGATTTTTTACTTTAACTGGACCTGCAACCGGAAGTAGTCGTTGCCTAGGCGTATTTTGATAATAGACACGATCAGTAGTTATATGCCTTGGGGTTCAGGCCTCACAACTTCGTGTTTCAGACCTCGAAGGTAAGCCCACCCCTCCAAATAACCCAATTTTGTCCGATTTCAATTTTCCAAGTTCGTATTTGAGCTCAAAATGAACATTTAAAGTGAGAAAGATGACAATTAATGGTGTAAGATTAAGGAAACATGCATACATTTCGAATTAAATGGCATTACGTTGACCTCCAAATGTATGGAGCGCCATTGGTGCCAAATAACGGTGGTCTGGGTACGGCCGTAATATTACAGCCCCGCATGGTAAGGGTTAATAATCAACAAAAATTAAAAAAAAGTTTAAAGCGTTTTTGAGCAAACCAGTGTATCTGAAGGCCTTGATAACCTATGTAGGCCTCAAATATGATGAAAAAAGATCCTAATTGGAGCTAAAACTGAAAAAAATTGATTTCTAACCCCAGGGATATTAACCCTTACCATGCTGAATTGTTTTCAGAAATTGTCTAATTTTCGATTATTTGCAAAAATATGCAAATTATATGCAAATGAGCTGTACCCTGATGCTGATGCATATTGATTGCATTAAATCTAAGATAGGGGATCACGGGGTGGGGTGGTCGGGGTGAGGAGGCGGGGGAGGGTGGGCCGTAATTTGCCCCAAATGTGGTCCTCAGGTGCAAAAGGCGTCAATTTTGACGTTTTTACGTTCTTTTTCTCGACTTGGAAGTCCGAGGGATGCTAATAGATGCATCAAACTGTAGTTTGCATGTAGGGTGGACCCCAGTGAAAACATTAATCACAACAGTTGTTAGGTAGGAGTGAAACTGATCTGGGTACACCAGTCTAAAAAAGGTCATTTGCACCAAAATTCTAAAAATTTCCGACTTTTTCCGATTTTTTACTTTAACTGGACCTGCAACCGGAAGTAGTCGTTGCCTAGGCGTATTTTGATAATAGACACGATCAGTAGTTATATGCCTTGGGGTTTACACTATTTGTCCAAGTTTCAGGCCTCACAACTTCGTGTTTCAGACCTCGAAGGTAAGCCCACCCCTCCAAATAACCCAGTTTTGTCCGATTTCAATTTTCCAAGTTCGTATTTGAGCTCAAAATGAACATTAAAAGTGAGAAAGATGACAATTAATGGTGTAAGATTAAGGAAACATGCATACATTTCGAATTAAATGGCATTACGTTGACCTCCAAATGTATGGAGCGCCATTGGTGCCAAATAACGGTGGTCTGGGTACGGCCGTAATATTACGGCCCCCGCATGGTAAGGGTTAATAGCATTTTTCTCAGAAACTACAAATCAGATCTTCATGAAATTTGGTATCAAGCTTCATGTGAGCTATACTTGGTATCAAGCTTCATGTGAGCTATACTTAGTATCAAGCTTCATGTGAGCTATACTTGGTATCAAGCTTCATGTGAGCTATACTTGGTATCAAGCTTCTTGTGAGCTATACTTGGTATCAAGCTTCATGTGAGCTATACTTGGTATCAAGCTTCATGTGAGCTATACTGTCTGATGCATTTTGAGATTCATTATAAAAATAAGGAGATGTGGTGTGATTGCCAAAGATACAACTATCCACCAGAGTTCAAATGACGAAGTTTAAAGCAATTGCATGTCACCATACTTCTTTCAACAATGAGAAAAACCCATACTGCATTACAAGTTATAAAAGCTCCATTGCTCATCTACTTCCTATTTCCTAAATATTATTATACTCCTACTCATAATGGCCACGCATGAATTATGTCACATTTTTCTCACTAACTACAAATCAAGGCTTTCGAAATTTGGAATTTACCTTCGCTTGAGCATGCATTACTTTGCGGTGCAATTTTACAACAATGACTCATCAACCATGTTTAACGAATACTTATTTAGGGTATCATTAGTGAGCAGTAGCTCATAGTTTAGCTTGTTTATGTTGGTATAAGAATGAAGTTCACCAATTTGTAATGGTTCTATCAATCTTCTGATCAGTAAGACCTTTTTCCAGAGAGCCATGTTCATTTCATTTTATTGTTTTTTATAACCCTGCTTACTGAAGTAGTGATATATAGCAATCATTATAAACCAGATAAGGATTTCAATGAAATTTCATGATATCTTTAGTATCTGACATCATTATGCACCTCCTATTTCTTTTTCTGTATGATCCAAATGGTTTTGGTAGTTTCGCATAGCAAGACATGGGCAGTGTCATATCTGCAAACGGGTTAGACATCTTATATCCACAACTCCTTATATGATAATTACCTTGTTTCAATGAATCTTAAATATACTGCCATTATGCATCTCCTATTCTATTTTTCCATATGAGTAAGGGGGTTTTAAGCAGCACTACAGTGACTTTGCCATATCTATTCAAATTGTGGAGCATGGGTTTGACATCATTTCTAATTGCAGCATTTCATTTTTATACGCCCGTTTACGGGACGTATTATGGTATACCGTTGTCCGTCTGTCCGTCCGTCCGTCCGTCTGTCCGTCTGTCCGTCCGTCGTCAACATGTCGGACATTAACTCAAAAACCCTTTAACCAATTTGCATAAAACTTTGGTGAATTGTTTATTTCTATTGACGTGAGCTCCCTTTTTGTTTTTTATAAATTTTAGATTTTACGTTTCCGAGTTGTGGGGTTTTATTCATTAAAAAATGGGGGATTTTCCAGTTTTCGGACAATAACTCAAGAATGCTTTCACCAACTTGCAAGAAATTGTGGTGAATTGTTTATATCTATTGACATGATCTCCCTTTTGATTTTTATATATTTTAGATTTTATGTTTCCGAGTTACAGGTTATTATTCATAAAAAAAGGGGGATTTTCCAGTTTTCAGACAAAAAATCAAAAATGCTTTCAGCAGTTCTTATGAAACTTTGGTGAATTGTTTATATCTATTGATGTAAGCTCCGTTTAGAATTTTATAAATTTTACATTTTACATTTCTGAGTTAGGGGGTTTTATTCATTAAAAAAAGGGGGGATTTTCCAGTTTTCAGACAATAACTCAAAAATGCTGTCAGCAATTCTCATGAAACTTTGGTGAATTGTTTATATCTATTGATGTAAGCTCCCTTTACATTTTCATAAATTTCTAATATGACATTGAGAATAAATTGAACTTTAATTGTTTATAGTCTGACAACAGATTTACTAAGTATTGCGCAACAGCTGAGTGTATTGCACAACACCAGGAAATCTTTAATTGAATATAAATTCAATTCATGTAACCAATTTCAAGTTCTTTGACTACATTTATTCAGAAACCTATAATAAGTCAAATATTTAATACAATCCAAATTCAGACCTGTATCAAGCTTGAATATTGTGTCTATTTTTGCCCCAACTGTTCAGGGTTGGACCTCTGCGGGCGTATCCAGCTGCGCTCAGCGAAGCAGTTTATTTAGTTTGTTTATTAACTTCCAGATCATATTTTAATTCATTTGATAAATATAGATTCTTTCATTGGTACCAGATTATCGGATTTATCCAATCCAGATAGTTAAAATTGATAATTTAACTATCGAGATTGGATAAATCCGATAATCCACGAGTAACTATGTGAGAATCTGTTTCTCTAATGATTGTCAAATAAATTTTCATTTTTGATAAACGAAAATCCCCCTTGAGTGTCTTCCACCTTTCCACAAAGTTGTCAATTTAATTAACATCTGTTAGCATATTTTGATTCATCCTGTGAGCTGATAAAGGGTATGACCCTTAAACTCATCCAATCATCTTCTGAGATCATCGGCAACCACACGTTAATTAAATTTTTTTATACAATGAGTCTGAAAAGGGTTAAATTGCCACAGAATTAGAGAAACTTGAAAATATAACAATGATCTAGTTCTTAACTCTTTTACTTTTCTTCGCTTAAATGTATTTATACTGGTATTTTGCAAAAGCTTTGATCTACAATATGTTTGAAGACATAACTGTACAATTCAGTGTTAAATTACCTGTACACAAAAAGACAAATGTTTGTCAGTCTACTAATGTTGAAATGTGAATAAAAGGATATGTATGGTTGAAATGTCAATGAAACAGCAACCGTACAACACAAAAACCTTAATGACATTAAGAGGTCAGTACGCTGTTCAACAGTAGGCAAGTGTCTACTCTTTATGTCAAGGTTTCCTTTAAAAAAAAAACTACAATATTAAGATGTAACAAAAGACAACCACTGACGAGGCTCTCACTTGTAATGTTGAATTTTAAATGTATATTTATATATTTATTTAATATTACAGCTTTTGAAACCTGATTGACATTTCCGTTTTGTCATTTTGACAATATAAGGATTGTTAAGTGAAAGCAAATTTCTTTTATCAGCATTTTATTTTTATGGCATAATCTGTAAAAAAAAATGTGATGTATTTCAGATCATTTGAAGGACAATTTAGGAGCTCATGAAAAATGTCTTCAGGTAAAAATTACATTTTTTATAAAAAAAATCTGTCTCTATTTTGAATTTTAAGAAAATTTCATTGAATGAAAGCAGAATGCAAACTGGACAGATTTTCATTTACCTTCAGTGAAGTTGTTTACCATTCTAAAGTTGCTGTCCACTTCCATACGACCTGTATCTGCATGAACATTTTTATTATACACATGACACTAAGTTTCTAGGGCAAATAATTTTATCCATGTCAACCCTTCAATCCATCAGTCATTCTGAAATCAAACTGTTGTTCTTTTTATTTGCCCTGCCTAGGATAGTAGGGAGCATTGTGTTTTCTGGTCTATGTTTGTGCATGTTTCTGTTCCTTTGTCTGTCCGTGTGTTGATTTGTGTGTCCTGTACCAGGTTATTTTTTATGTCAAGGTAGTTAACCATGAAGTTACAATCACATCAACTTGACATTAATACACATATATAAAAATAAGGAGATGTGGTATGATTGCCAATGAGACAACTATCCACCGCATGTTCATTATAGTGTGAACTTTTAAAATTATATGCCAAATTATGGTTTTGACTGTAATTTTACAGTTCATTGAACATTGATATGTGATCATTGGATATTGGTACTTTCTGGCATTTTTGGTAACAAATCAATTTTGCATTTTATTCTGGTTCACCTACTTTTCATGAAATTTAGGTGTTTGGACTTTAATGGTAAATTTCATGAAAATTAGTCTTCTCTGGACGTTTTTGATAATTCCAGCAGATTTGTAATTGATTTTTGATATTTTAGTGTATAATGATGACTTTCAGAACAAGTATGCTTTTCCTTCTTATTGACACAACTTTTTGAGATAAGGCTGCATGTTGGAGCAGTTAAAATGTACTGATTCATTTTGTTAGCTCACCGGGGCCCGAAGGGCCCCATGTGAGCTTGTGTCATCACTTGGCGTCCGTTGTTGTCCGTCGTCTGTCGTTGTCGTCTGTCGTCGTAAACTATTTAAAAAATCTTCTCCTCTGAAACTACTGGGCCAAATACCTTCAGACTTAAACTAAATGTTCCTTAGGGTATCTAGTTTATAAATTGTATCCGAAGTTTTGATTCATCGACAAACATGGCCGCCATGGCTAAAAATAGAACATAGGGGTCAAATGCAGTTTTTGGCTTGTATCTCAAAAACTAAAGCTTTTAGAGCAAATCTGATATTGGGTAAATTTGTTCAGTTGGTCAAGATCTATCAGCTCTGAAATTTTCAGATGAATCAAACAATCCATTGTTGGGTTGCTGCCACTGAATTGGTAGTTTTAACAAAATTTTGCAGTTTTTTGTTATTATTTTGAATATTATTATAGATATATATAAACTGTAAGCAGCAATAATTTTCAGCAAAATAAGATCTACAAAAAAGTTATATGACAATAATTGTCAATTGACCCCTCAAGGAGTTATTGCCCTTTAAAGACAATTTTACACAATTTGTTCATCAAGTTTGCTAACATTTAAAAATCTTCTCCTCTGAAACTACTGGACCAATTACCTTCAAACTTTAAATAAATGTTCCTTAGGGTATCTAGTTTATAAATTGTATCCGAAGTTTTGATTCATCGACAAACATGGCCGCCATGGCTAAAAATAGAACATAGGGGTCAAATGCAGTTTTTGGCTTGTATCTCAAAAACTAAAGCTTTTAGAGCAAATCTGATATAGGGTAAATTTGTTCAGTTGGTCAAGATCTATCAGCTCTGAAATTTTCAGATGAATCAAACAATCCATTGTTGGGTTGCTGCCACTGAATTGGTAGTTTTAACAAAATTTTGCAGTTTTTTGTTATTATTTTGAATATTATTATAGATATATATAAACTGTAAGCAGCAATAATTTTCAGCAAAATAAGATCTACAAAAAAGTTAATATGACAATAATTGTCAATTGACCCCTCAAGGAGTTATTGCCCTTTAAAGACAATTTTACACAATTTGTTCATCAAGTTTGCTAACATTTAAAAATCTTCTCCTCTGAAACTACTGGGCCAATTACCTTCAAACTTTAACTAAATGTTCCTTAGGGTATCTTGTTTATAAATTGTGACGTGGGTAAAATTGTTTAATTGGTCAAGATCTATCAGCCCTGAAATTATCAGACAAATCGAACAACCCATTGTTGAGTTGCTGCCACCGAATTGGTAGTTTTAACAAAATTTTGCAGTTTTTATTATGCCCCCGCCGTAGCGGTGGGGGCATTAAGTTTTACCCTTGTCCGTCTGTACGTACGTACATACGTACGTACGTCCGTCCGTACGTCCCAAAATTGGTTTCCGTTCTCTAACTTGAGTTTGCCTCAACCAAATGTTATGAAACTTATACACAATGCTTATTTTCACAAAACACAGATCAAGTTTGAATTTTGGTGGCGTCACTTTAACCGTTCTAGAGTTATGCCCCTTTATAAATGGAAAAATTGCAAAATTTTTAGTTTCCGTTCTCTAACTTAAGTTTGCCTCAACCAAATGTTATGAAACTTATACACAAGGCTTATTACCTACAAAACACAGATCAAGTATGAATTTTGGTGGCGTCACTTTAACCGTTCTAGAGTTATGCCCCTTTATAAATGGAAAAAATTGCAAAATTTTTAGTTTCCGTTCTCTAACTTAAGTTTGCCTCAACCAAATATTATGAAACTTATACACAATGCTTATTACCACAAAACACAGATCAAGTTTGAAATTTTGGTGGCGTCACTTTAACCGTTCTAGAGTTATGCCCCTTTATAAATGGAAAAAATTGCAAAATTTTTATTTTCTTCTAAATATCAAGTTATTTTTAAAATTGGAGTTATCTTCCTTTGTCCATGATTATAGTTGAATCAACTACAATGAATGCTTTATACAATGCAATGTTTAATTTTGACTTCCACTGATAAAACACAGATGAAGTTGAATTTGGGTAGTGTCACTTTAACCATTATTGAGTTATGTCCCTTTATAAATAGAAAAATTGCTGAATTTTTAGTTTCTGTTCTCTACTTAAGTTAGCCTCAACCAAATGTTATGAGACTTACACACAAAACTCAGATCAAGTTCAAATTTGGGTAGTGTCACTTTTACTGTTCTTCAGTTATGTCCCTTTATAACTATATGATATGCAAGCGGGGGCATCATCTGTGTCCACATGTGGACACTATACACATTTATTTGTTATTATTTTGAATATTATTATAGATATATATAAACTGTAAGCAGCAATAATGTTCAGCAAAGTAAGATCTACAAAAAAGTTAATATGACCAAAATTGTCAATTGACCCCTTAAGGAGTTATTGCCCTTTAAAGACAATTTTACACAATTTGTTCATCAAGTTTGCTAACATTTAAAAATCTTCTCCTCTGAAATACAGGTGAGCGATTCAGGCTCTTGAGAGCCTCTTGTTTATAAGTTCATCTAATTTACATCCGGTATCAAAGTTAGGTCATATGTCAATGTAAATTGATACAGAATCAGATGAGAGGGTCAGCTTTTTTGAGCCTCAGGATTATTTTAAAGTTTCATATCAAAATGTTTCTATATTTGTCTTATATGAGACAAATGTATATTACAGACACTTAAGAAACAGCTACATACAAGATTAAAGAAATTAGAAGAGGAATCACAGTCTGCAAGGGAAGAACTTAGAACACAGGGTTTATTTCAGACAGGTATTTTGGTATTGTATAGTAACTCAGGCAAAATTAAACTTTTGCTTGTGATTTTTCACTACCTTGACGTAGTACAACAACGTAGATGTTGTCAATGCTGTTGCATCAAAACAAAGTGAGAGCATGTAGAAAAAGAGATAGTTCCTTACAATTTTATACGCCCGTTTACGGGACGTATTATGGTATACTGTTGTCCGTCTGTCCGTCCGTCTGTCTGTCCGTCGTTAACATGTTGGACATTAACTTAAAAACGCGTCAACCAATTTACATAAAACTTTGGTGAATTGTTCATATCTATTGATGTGAGCTCCCTTTCGTATTTATAAAATTTAGATTTTACGTTTCTGAGTTATGGGGTTTTATTCATTAAAAAAGGGGGATTTTCCAGTTTTCGGACGATAACTCAAAAATGCTTTCACCAATTTGCAAGAAACTTTGGTCAATTGTTTATATCTATTGACATGAGCTCCCTTTTGATTTTTATAAATTTTAGATTTTATGTTTCCGAGTTATGGAGTTTAATTCATTAAAAAAAAGGGGGGATTTTCCAGTTTTCAGACAATAACTCAAAAATGCTTTCAGCAGTTCTCATGAAACTTTAAAGAATTGTTTATAATTATTGATGTAAGTTCCCTTGCAATTGTTATAAATTTTAGATTTTACACTTCCGAGTTATGGGATTTTATTCATAAAAAAGGGGTGATTTTTCTAGTTTTTGGACAATACCTTTAAAGTGCTTTGATCAGTTTTCATTAAACTTTGGTGACTGGTTTACATCAATTAAGATAACCTACCTTTAGTTTTTCACAAATTTCTGATATGACACTGAGAAGTTTTTGAACTTTATTCGTAAAAAATGCGACAGGCGTATCATGCGCTCATAGCGCAGCTGTTTATCTACTTTATTTACATGAAAAGTCAATGTAATAAAAAGAATAACTATTCCAAGATTTAGGAAAATATTCAACTTGTGACAGAACAACATGATAGTTCACTCATGTGTTAAGTAAATTCCTGAATTAATGTGTTGTTAGGTCACTCATTCAATATTATTAGATGTCGATTTCTTTGATTAGTTCCTCTATGATCATTTGAACTATTTCTGTTTTATTCATCATAAAGAAAAAAAAAATTAAATGATTAAAATTTTTGTCTTTTGTTCTAGCCCAGATTAAATATTTGAAATGAAGGGTCCATGTTGTGTAATGGAGAAAAATGATTTTTTTTATACTTTTTACAGATTTAGATCAAGAAAAAGGAAAAATAGACAACAATTTTACCAATCATAAAGCAGAATTGGAAAAGGAATTTGAAGCATGTTCTCAACTTATTGCTCAGGCTTATGACAAGTATGTATTACAAATTGTTAAATAATAATATAACACTAACTACTGGAAAAAACAAATAAAGCGAAAATTAATCTTCAATAATTAAGTATTTGTTAGGATAAATTGTGGACCTGTGTGGCAAATTGATTTTTCCAGTGAGCTGTTAGATGAGCTGAAAAGTGGAAATTGAAATTTTAAATTCTTGTATTCTCATTTAATTATGCTTCATATTAACTACAAGTATAATTTGAAATAACATGACAATACAATGTTGTGTCTTGAATTATAGGATTTATTTGCAAAGATCTATAGAAAAATTTATGGTTCACTTTGGAGCTTTCCTTATGAAAATTTATGTTATAAATCATAACAGTGCTGAAGCACTTACTACTGAGATGATGACAAAAGACCTTTCTTTGTCTGTGATATGTTAAAAAATTACAGAAAAGTTATTGAAAATTAACGCACCCTCTTTCACAGTTTTTGTAGAGCCTGCGGCTTTTGTCGAAGAAAGCTCAACATAGGGATAGTGATCAGGCGGCGGCGTTAGCTTACTACTTAAAAGTTTAAAATTTTAGATGGTGGAAGACCTGGATGCTTCATACTTTGTATATAGATGCTTTATGTTATGAAGTTTCTGTCTGTCATATGTACATGGTCCTTGACCTCATTTTCATGGTTCAGTGACTACTTGAAACATCAGTACCTAGAATCTATATGTCAAGACCATCATGTATTATTTGTGAAGTTGATACGGAATATTTATCAACAAGGTCTTGATATCTTCTGATGAACTTTTATAGAAAAAGGACGAGATTTCTTTGACATAACCCTAGTTCATCAACTTTCTGCTCAGACACTGGTGACGTTTTATATCTTGAGTAGCAGCTGCAAGCTCTTGAATACCAATTGAGTTGGGAAATGTATATCCCATATGCAGATGAAGTTGGTATATTGCTATTAAGGTGGGAGAAATTGATAATTTCAAAGTTAAAATCGCCTCATTTGTCATAGATTCTGATACTGATATGACCGCTTATGTCAAATTTGAGGTATAAGTCTAAAAATGAGGCGGAGGAAGCCGTGTCTGTTGTTTCTTAATTTCTAGTTCTGGAGGATATATTAATGGAACCCAATCAGAAAAATTTGGATTGTTAATGGAACATCATCAGTATATCTGAATGTGAAATTAAATGATCTGACTTCTTTGATCTTCTTGTTTTTTCACAAGTGTCTGAAGGAACTCAGACTCATATGAAAATATGAAGAGGTCAGCAAGGAGAGGCGCACACTTCCTTCCCATAGGAATGCCAACAATTTGTTGAAAAAGTCTTCCTCCAAATTCAACAAATATGTTGTCAATAAGAAAATCCAGCATACTGATCACTTGTGTGTTACCTTTTTGTTCACTTTTCACAAAATTTGCCATATGGTATCCCAAAGTAATAAATTTAAAGTGTATGCCACCATTTTTGTATTGAAAAACATTGTGAATTATTTCTTTTAGACGGTTTTTCAATTTCACATGCGGAATGGTGATATACAGGGTTGAAAAATCAAAAGTTTTGATAGAATTAATTTCAGAGAAATATCAAGATTTAAAATTATTCAGAAGTTCTTTACAGTATTTTAGAAAAGATTCTTACTTCCTCATGGGAGATTGGATTCACGAAATTCTTACAAAATATTTTTGGCTCCTGTCACTATAGAGAGTTAAAACCTATGGGTTCATTAAGTGCTTAACTTTTTAGCCCACCTGGCCCAAAGGGCCAAGTGAGCTCTTCTCATCACTTGATGTCCGTCGTTCGTTGTCAGTCGTCTACTGTCAACTTTTACAAAAATCTTCTCTGAAACTACTGGACCAAATTTAACCAAACTTGGCCACACTCATCATTAGGGTATCTAGATTAATTTGTGCCTGATGATGCAAGTTTTGTCTATTATTTCGAAAACCATTATAAATAGAGAAAATCTGACTTGAGCAAAAATGTTCTGAATGTTAAGCTCTACCAATTGTCCATATACATCAACACTGTCAGACGACTTCTTATAGGAGTTATTGCCTTTAAATGACAAAGTTTAACCATTTTTATACGACCGCAAAAATTAAAAATTTTTTGGTCGTATATTGGTATGACGTTGGCGTCGTCGTCGTCGTCGTCGTCCGGCGTCGTCCGAAGACACATTGGTTTTCGCACTCTAACTTTAGTTTAAGTGAATGGATCTCCATGAAATTTCACCATAAGGTTCAATACCACAAAAGGAAGGTTGGGATTGATTTTGGGGGTTATGGTACCAACAGTTTAGGAATTAGGGGCCAAAAAGGGGCCAAAAATAAGCATTTTTGTAACTTTCAGACAATAACTTGTGTGTAAGTGTATGGATCTCTCTGACATTGTACCACAAGGTTCCATATCACAAAGGGAAGGCTGCAATTGATTTTGGGGGTAATTGCCTCAAAATTTTAGGAATTAGGGGCCAAAAAAGGGGCAAAAAACAAGCATTTTTCTAGTTTCATGACAATAACTTGTGTGTAAGTGTTTGGATATTTCTGAAATTGTACTACAAGGTTCCATATCACAAAGGGAAAGCTGGAACTGAGTTTGGGGGTAATTGCCCGAAACGTTTAGGAATTGGGGGCCAAAAAGGGGCCAAAAATAAGCATTTTTCTAGTTTCCAGACAATAACTTGTGTTCAAGTGTATGGATCTCTCTGAAATTGTACTGCAAGGTACCATACCACAAAGGGAAGGCTGGGATTGAGTTTGGGGGTGATGAATCATAAGGGGGTTCAAAAAATTGGGGGGGGGGGATTTTTTTTTTTTTTTTTTTTCTTTTAAAATTTTCCATTTTAAGTTGGTTATTTCTGATTTATATTTAAAAGCAAATAATAATGATATGGTAGGAGATACACACCAAACAGGATGTGTAAATTATTATATAATAAGTATTGTGCAATAGCAAGAAATTTTCAATTGCACAGTATTGCACAATAGCAAGAAATCTTCAATTGCACAGTATTGCGCAATAGCAAGAAATCTTCAATTTAACAGTATTGCGCAATAGCAAGAAATATCCAATAGCACAATATTGCGCAATAGCAAGAAATTGTCAATTGTACAGTATTGCGCAATAGCAAGAAATATTCAATTGCACAGTATTGTGCAAAAGAAGATACTTCGTATGAATTGCTTATTTCTTGATCAATTTCAATGGGGTTTTATTCTTGAATTCTTGGATTTTGGGCCCCGTTTTTAAATTGGTCCACATTGAGGTCCAAAGGGTCCAAAATTAAACTTTGTTTGATTTCATCAAAAATTGAATTATTGGGGTTCTTTGATATGCCGAATCTAACCGTGTATTTAGATTTTTAATTTTGGGTCCCGTTTTTTAAATTTGTCTACATTAAGGTCCAAAGGGTCCAAAATTAAACTTAGTTTGATTTTAACAAAAATTGAATTCTTAGGGTTCTTTGATATGCTGAATCTAAACATGTGTTTAGATTTTTGATTATGGGACCAGTTTTCAAGTTGGTCCAAGTTGGGGTCCAAAATTAAACTTTGTTTGATTTCAACAAAAATTGAATATATAGGGTTCTTTGATATGCTGAATCTAAACATGTATTTAGATTTTAGATTTTTGGCCCAGTTTTCAAGTTGGTCCAAATTGGGGTCCAAAATTAAACTTTGTTTGATTTCAACAAAAATTGAATATATGGGGTTCTTTGATATGCTGAATCTTACCATGTATTTAGATTTTTTATTTGTGGGCCCGCTATCAAATTGGTTCATATTGAGGTCAAAAGGGTCCAAAATTAAACTTTGTTTGATTTCATCAAAAATTGAATTATTGGGGTTCTTTGATATGCCAAATCTAACCATGTATTTAGATTTTTAATTTTGGGTCCTGTTTTTTAAATTGGTCTACATTAAGGTCCAAAGGGTCCAAAATTAAACTTAGTTTGATTTTAACAAAAATTGAATTTTTGGGGTTCTTTGATATGCTGAATCTAAACATGTGTTTAGATTTTTGATTATGGGACCAGTTTTCAAGTTGGTCCAAGTTGGGGTCCAAAATTAAACTTTGTTTGATTTCAACAAAAATTGAATATATGGGGTTCTTTGATATGCTGAATCTAAACATGTATTTAGATTTTAGATTTTTGGCCCAGTTTTCAAGATGGTCCAAATTGGGGTCCAAAATTAAACTTTGTTTGATTTCAACAAAAATTGAATATATGGGGTTCTTTGATATGCTGAATCTTACCATGTATTTAGATTTTTTATTTGTGGGCCCGCTATCAAATTGGTTCATATTGAGGTCAAAAGGGTCCAAATTAAACTTTGTTTGATTTCATCAAAAATTGAATTATTGGGGTTCTTTGATATGCCAAATCTAACTGTGTTTTTAGATTTTTAATGTAGGGTCCCGTTTTTTAAATTTGTCTACATTAAGGTCCAAAGGGTCCAAAATTAAACTTAGTTTGATTTTAACAAAAATTGAATTCTTCGGGTACTTTGATATGCTGAATCTAAACATGTGTTTAGATTTTTGATTATGGGACCAGTTTTCAAGTTTGTCCAAGTTGGGGTCCAAAATTAAACTTTGTTTGATTTCAACAAAAATTGAATATATGGGGTTCTTTGATATGCTGAATCTAACCATGTATTTTGATTTTGGACATTGGACCATAATAGGTAAATTAAAAAAATTGAAGTTCTTAGACCACATTCTTTCTGTGTCAGAAACCTATGCTGTGTCAAATATTTAATCACAATCCAAATTCAGAGCTGTATCAAGCTTGAATGTTGTGTCCATACTTGCCCCAACTGTTCAGGGTTCGACCTCTGCGGTCGTATCAAGCTGCGCCCAGCGAAGCATTTTATTGCCTATTGTCTTGAAACTATAATAGATAGAGAGAAACTTTAAAATGCTAAAATGATCAGCTAGACAAGTTCTAAAAAGAAGTCTAATGGGTGAAATCGGGAGTTGACTCCATATTAGAGTTATTGCCCTTTTGATGATGATTTTTACCATTTTTTTGCGATTTTGCCTTATATCTTAAAATAATAGATAGATAGAAACTTAAATAAGCAAAAATGATCAGCAAGATAAGATCTTCAATTAAGACAATATGGAGGAAATCGTCCAACAACTCCTTATTGGAGTTATTGCCCTTTAATGACAATTTTTACCATTTTTATTATACGCCCGTTTACGGGACGTATTATGGTATACCGTTGTCCGTCTGTCCGTCCGTCTGTCTGTCCGTCCGTCTGTCCGTCGTCAACATGTCGGACATTAACTCAAAAATGCTTTAACCAATTTGCATAAAACTTTGGTGAATTGTTTATATCTATTGAAGTGAGCTCCCTTTTGGTTTTTTTTAAATTTAAATTTTACGTTTCCAAGATATGGGGTTTTATTCATTGAAAAAAGGGGGATTTTCCAGTTTTCGGACAATAAGTCAAGAATGCTTTCACCAACTTGCAAGAAATTGTGGTGAATTGTTTATATCTATTGACATGAGCTCCCTTTTGATTTTTATAAATTTAAGATTTTATGTTTCCGAGTTGCAGGGTTTTATTCATAAAAAAAGGGGGGATTTTCCAGTTTTCAGACAAAAACTCAAAAATGCTTTCAGCAATTCTTATGAAACTTTGGTGAATTGTTTGTATGTATTGATGTAAGCTCCCTTTAGAATTTTATAAATTTTACATTTTACATTTCTGAGTTATGGGGTTTTATTCATTAAAAAAGGGTTGATTTTCCAGTTTTCGGACAATAACTCAAAAATGCTGTCACCAATTCTCATGAAACTTTGGTGAATTGTTTATATGTATTGATGTAAGCTCCCTTTTTATTTTCATAAATTTCTAATATGACATTGAGAATTAATTGAACTATATTTGTTTATAGTCTGACAACAGATTTACTAAGTATTGCACAACAGCAAGAAATCTTTAATTGAATATAAATTCAGTTCATATAACCAATTTCAAGTTCTTTGACTACATTTATTCAGAAACCTATAATATGTCAAATATTTAATTACAATCCAAATTCAGACCTGAATCAAGCTTGAATATTGTGTCCATTTTTGCCCCAACTGTTCAGGGTTGGACCTCTGCGGGCGTATCTAGCTGCGCTCAGCGAAGCAGTTTATTTTTTTGTGTTTTGCCTTATATGATAAAAATTGTAATAGATAAATAGACACTTTAAATCTCAAAAATGATCAGCAAGGCAAGATCTACCAACAAGTCAAATTTTGCCGATATAGTTAGTAGTTTATAGGAGTGATTGCCCTTAAATGAGGATTTTTTTTTACCCTCTTTTGTGTTTTGAGCAAAAACTAAAGAAGATATAGAGAATCTAAACAGAAGAAATGATCAGCAATACAAGATCAACAAAGCAGAGATTTTTGTCATGAATTCTATTATCGTCTACAATATTGGAGAGTGTCCTTAGTTGAATATGCACATAAACCAAGGTGAGCGACACAGGCTCCTGAGAGCCTCTAGTTTTGTTTGCCAACATGTATATCTTGAAAAAATAAAACTAAGAATGCAGGTGAAAATTATGGATACTTTGGATTCATTACTATTCATGGGGTACCAATTTTCGTGGATTTCGTGGGTTCAGGTGAACCACTAATTTAAATATTTAACAAAGTAAAAATTTTTCTAAAGACTTGCATGCTGACTTTTGTAAAACCACGAAATCAAATATCCACGAAAATACAATTTTTACTTAATCCACGAAAATTGGTACCCACGAAAATAAATGAATCCACAGTATATAGCATTCGCTATTAAAATTTATCACATATTTAAATAGAAATTTTATTAAAATTTAAAATGACATTATAGACATTCTGATTATATTTCAGACATTTAACAGAACACATTCCTAAGCTATCAGTATTACCTGTAAAAATAACTATCAACGTACTACCTAAAGATCTGAAGATATCCGATGTAGTGTTTGCACCCACAGATAGGTAATGTTCAACTTTTAGAATAGAAAGGGTACAGTTTACAAATGTTATTCTAGATAACTGTGATAGAATGGTTTACAATAGGACAGTTCAGAAATTGCTTTTATTTCAATGCGGAGGTTAATAAGATGCATCACTTGACATTTTGTTGCATCGGCTTAGTATTGAACACAGGCATATTAAGAAAATGGAATGATTTAGATAGATTCTACCACACTTTTCTATTTTTGACACCCTCACCCTATAGTAAACCTACCTTTAGGTGACATTACCCATAGGTTGGTGTTTTCATGCAGACAACCTTGTCTTGATCCTATCACTACATCAATTTCGGACATTACCACATGACTTTTATCTGTATAATGAAATAGGACGCAGAAAAACAGACTTTCTCTGTAGTAAAGTGCTGAAATGAGATCTTCCTCCTAGTGTATCGTAGCTGGAAGAATTATTTATTCAGACTTACACCATACAATTACCTTTTTTAAAGTGCAGTTAAAAGAATATTTCCTCTATAATACCTTTCCTAAGAGAGTGTGCAGCAAACAAAGCAAGAGTATTACAACAATGTATAAAGAAATAGTGTGGATTCATTTACTTTTCGTGGATACCAATTTTCATGGATTGAGGAAATATAATATTTTCATGGATATTTGATTTCGTGGTTTTGCCAAAGTATTCATTCAACCCTATAGAAAATTTGAACTTCATAGAACATTTAAATTCATAGTTAACCTATATCCATGATATCCACAAAAAGTTGGTATCCAATAAATAACAATGAATCCACAGTATTTCTTATATATTCATTTTCATATGAGTTGGATGATAATGCACTGAGCTGATTTTCAAAGTTCTATTTTTAAATACGAGACCAAATGTTTCAAATTCTCAAGAGCTGAATTGCTGCAAAATATTGCTGCTTTTTTTTTTTTTATTAATTTTTATTATTTATAACTTCCAATTTACAACATAATACAGTGTATACACAAATAATAACAATATATAATATATAAATCTATTGATATTATCTTAACAATACATCTTTTTATTAGGAAGCAATTTTTTTTTTAAATATACAAATATAAGATAAAGAGTAAAGCAGTCTGAACAGCGGAGAGGGAGAGAAAGAGAGTGAGAGAAAATAGTGTGGTGAGTTTTCAATACAATTCATCTAGACATTGAATTCTATTTTAGTATAGTAAATACAGTATTTTCATTTATAACATGTATAATATTAAATTTAAAGTGTATACATTTTTGTACTTAACTAAGTAATCTATCAAAAATGTTCCATTCTCTGTGAAACTGATGTTCACATTTGTTTTTCATAGCAATATTTTTGTCAGTTGCATACACATATTTCATCTTCTCTTTTACTGAGTTTATTGACAGTTTTTTTTTAAAACATCTGGTATTATAAACATATTGCTTTATGGTAAGAAAAAGAGTATTTTCTGCATTGCCTTTTGATATTTTTGCAATGTTACCAAACAAAAAAACTTCTTTTGTAAAAAATACACTAACTCCATTGCTGCTTTTTAGTTGAAAGTACCAATACACCAATTTTCCGGGAAGAATGACTTTCTAGAGATTGATAGACATTTTTATATGAAATTTTTGCGGTCGTACATTGGTATGATGTTGGCGTTGTCGTCGTCGGGACGTCGACTGAAGACACATTGGTTTTCGTACAATAACTTTAGTTTATGTTTATGTGAATGGATCTCTATGAAATTTTACCATAAGGTTCAATACCACAAAAGGAAGGCTGGGATTGATTTTGTGGGTTAAGGTACCAACAGTTAAATTAGGGGTAAAAAAGGGGAAAAAACAAGGGTTTCCTGTTTAAAGGACAATTTAAAAGCAGTGTAAGGGAGGTAATCCAAAAACAAAATTGTACAATGTTGTATTTTTTTTTTGGGGGGAGGGGTCAATACGCAACAGCATAGTGTGTTTCACAAAAGCAAAAAAAAGGGGGGGGGGGTAAATTTTTAACCGGATTTTCGAAGGAAATATCGGTTATTAAAATGGTTATATACACTAGGCGGCTCTGGCGGCTGCCAAACAGCGTCCGCACAATAACATGAAAACGCTTTAACAAATTTTTTTCAAATTTAAATATGTTGTTTCGTGGGACTTAATGAAGGTCTCTATTAATTTTCAAGATTTTAGTATATCTCCTTCGTGAGTTATCTTCGTTTTTAATATCCGAAAGTAGAATTTTTAAATATTTTACTGTTGTTATCTTTTTATGATTTGTCTCATCTCAGAATAAAAATTGGATTGACAGATTTATTTGAAAATTATCTATTTCCTAAGTGGTAATGATTATAAGCTATATCGTTATACATTTTGAAGATTATTACATTATTAATTATATTAGAGTATTATGTTAAACAACCATAGTTCTGTTTAATTAGATATTATAAATATTTCAGCATACGATAATGATTTATTTTCATTATTAATTATATCTTTGAAATATTTTAGCATATGATAATCATTGAAGTGACAGATTTATTTGAAAATTTACTGTTTTCTGATTGAAATATAGGGGAAGTCCATTGGGGTAACCCCTACCCCCCTTTTTTTTGATAACTTGTAAACGGTCAAGATTCCCACCCAGAAACCATATATATTCTTGTATGGGACAATATATCAAATCAAATGAAATATAGGGGAAGTCCACTGGGGTAAACTCTACCCCCTTCTCTTTGAAAACTTATAAACGGTTGAGATCCCCACCCCTAAACCATATATGTACTTGTATGGGACAATAAATTAAAAGCAAATTAAATTTAGGGGAAGTCCCCTGGGGTAACCCCTACTCTCCTTTTTTTTGAAAACTTGTAAATGGTCAAGATCCCCACTACGAAACCATATATATTCTTGTATGTTACAATAAAACAAATGAAATGAAATAAGAGGTGAGTTCCTTGGGGTCATTCCCACCTTCTTCCTGTTTAAGAACTTGTAAATGGTTGAGATCCCTGCCCCTAAACCATATATATCCTTGTATGGGACAAAAAAACAAATCATATGAAATAAAGGGCAGGTCCCCTGGGAAAATTAATCAGTTTGTGTGTGTTATATTTGAACATAAATTTAATATATATAGGGTTTTTTAAGTGCTGAATCTAAACTTGTTTTTAATTAGATAATAATCTATTTTTATTATGAGATAAAGTTTTTGACATTGATAGATAAGTTGCAGATCTGTATTATTTTTTGACACATGAAAGAAACAATATTAGCAATTATTAATTAAATTTGATTATAATATGGAAATAGATATAACATGATATCTGATTTTAGAGAAGTATTTTGCTGGTTTTTTATAGGTTTATGTAAATAAGTTAGAGTTATTTGTTTTGAAAAGTGATGTGTTTAATTGATAGATATAAAATCATATCTAATTTTAGAGATTTATGAGTGGTTAAGTCATATCTAATTTTAGAGAATTATTTTGGTGTTTTGTTACTGGTTCATGGAAATAAATTTGAGTTTTATCTTGTAAACGGTCAAGATCCCCACCTCTAAACCATATATATTCTTGTATGGGACAATAAAACAAATCAAACGAAATATTGGGGGAGTCACCGGGACCACCCCCACCCCCCTTCTTTTTGAAAACTTGTAAACGGTCAAGGTCCACCCTGAAACCATATATATTCTTGTACGGGACAATAAAACAAATCAAATGAAATATAAGGCGAGTCCCATGGGGTCATGCCCACCCCATCCTGTTTGAGAACTTGTAAACGGTCGAGATCCCCACCCCGAAACCATATATGTTCTTGTATGGGACAATAAATCAAATCAAATGAAATATAGAAAAAGTCTATGGGGGTAACCCCCACCCCCTTCTTTTTGATAACTTGTAAACGGTCGAGATCCCCACCCCTAAACTATATATATATGCTTGAATGGGACAATAAAACAAATCAAATGCAATTGAGGGGAATTCCCCTGGGGAAACCCCCACCCCCTTTTTTTGAAAACTTGTTTACAGTCAAGATCCCCACCCCGAAACCATATATTTTCTTGTATGGGACAATAAAACAAATGAAATGAAATAAGAGGTGAGTTCCTTGGGGTCATTCCCACCTTCTTCCTGTTTAAGAACTTGTAAATGGTTGAGATCCCTGCCCCTAAACCATATATATCCTTGTATGGGACAAAAAAACAAATCATATGAAATAAAGGGCAGGTCCCCTGGGAAAATTAATCAGTTTGTGTGTGTTATATTTGAACATAAATTTAATATATATAGGGTTTTTTAAGTGCTGAATCTAAACTTGTTTTTAATTAGATAATAATCTATTTTTATTATGAGATAAAGTTTTTGACATTGATAGATAAGTTGCAGATCTGTATTATTTTTTGACACATGAAAGAAACAATATTAGCAATTATTAATTAAATTTGATTATAATATGGAAATAGATATAACATGATATCTGATTTTAGAGAAGTATTTTGCTGGTTTTTTATAGGTTTATGTAAATAAGTTAGAGTTATTTGTTTTGAAAAGTGATGTGTTTAATTGATAGATATAAAATCATATCTAATTTTAGAGATTTATGAGTGGTTAAGTCATATCTAATTTTAGAGAATTATTTTGGTGTTTTGTTACTGGTTCATGGAAATAAATTTGAGTTTTATCTTGTAAACGGTCAAGATCCCCACCTCTAAACCATATATATTCTTGTATGGGACAATAAAACAAATCAAACGAAATATTGGGGGAGTCACCGGGACCACCCCCACCCCCCTTCTTTTTGAAAACTTGTAAACGGTCAAGGTCCACCCTGAAACCATATATATTCTTGTATGGGACAATAAAACAAATCAAATGAAATATAAGGCGAGTCCCATGGGGTCATGCCCACCCCATCCTGTTTGAGAACTTGTAAACGGTCGAGATCCCCACCCCGAAACCATATATGTTCTTGTATGGGACAATAAATCAAATCAAATGAAATATAGAAAAAGTCTATGGGGGTAACCCCCACCCCCTTCTTTTTGATAACTTGTAAACGGTCGAGATCCCCACCCCTAAACTATATATATATGCTTGAATGGGACAATAAAACAAATCAAATGCAATTGAGGGGAATTCCCCTGGGGAAACCCCCACCCCCTTTTTTTGAAAACTTGTTTACAGTCAAGATCCCCACCCCGAAACCATATATTTTCTTGTATGGGACAATAAAACAAATCAAATGAAATATAAGGCGAGTCCCCTTGGGTCACCACCACCCCCTCCTGTTTGAGAACTTGTTAACGGTCGAGATCCTTACCCCTAAACCATATATATTCTTGTATGGGACAATAAAACAAATCAAATGAAATATAGGGGAAGTCCAGGGGGGTCACCCCCACCCCCTTTTTTTTGAAAACTTGTAAACAGTCAAGATCCCCTCCCCGAAACCATATATATTCTTGTATGGGACAATAAAACAAATCAAATCAAATAAAAGGTCGAGTCCCCTGGGGTCACCCCACCCCCTCCTATTTGAGAAATTGTAAACGGTTGAGATCCCCACCCCTAATCCATATATATTCTTGTATGGGACAATAAAACAAATCAAATGAAATATAGGGAAAGTCCATGGGGGTAACCCCAACCCCCTTCTTTTTGATAACTTGTAAACGGTCGAGATCCGCACCCCTAAACCATATATATTATTGAATGGGACAATAAAACAAATCAAATGAAATTGAGGGAAAGTCCCCTGGGGTAACCCCCACCCCCCTTCCTTTTTGAAAACTTGTAAATGGTCAAGATCCCCACCCTGAAACCATATATATTCTTGTATGGAACAATAAAACAAATCAAATGAAATATAAGGTGAGTCCCCTTGGGTCACCCTACCCCTCTCCTGTTTAAGAACTTGTAAACGGTTGAGCTTTTCATTATTAATAAAATAATACCACATTGAGGTCCAAAGGGTCCTAAATTAAACTTTTGTTTAATTTCATCAAATATTGAATTCTTTGGTTCTTTGATATGCTGATTCTAACAATGTTTGATAGTTAAATCATATCTTATTTTAGAGAACTATTTATCCAGTTTGAGTTATTTCCATTTGCACAGAAAATATTATGGATAAAATTAACCTGTGTTTCATTTCAACATAAATTAAATATATATATATAGGGTTCTTTCAAATGCTGAATCCAAACTCTATTTAAATAATAGATTTTTAGGCCTAGTTTTCAAGTTGGTCCAAATCAGGGTCCAAAATTAAACTTTGTTTGATTCAACAAAAATTGAATTTATGGGGTTCTTTGAAATGCTGAATCTAACCATGTATTGAGAGATTTTGGATTGTGGGCTCCTTTATCAAATTGGTCCACATTGAGGTCCAAAGGGTTCTAGATTAAAATTTTGTCTGATTTCATCAAAAATTGAATTCTTGGGGTTCTTTGATATGCTGATTCTAATATGTACTTAGATTTTGGATATTGGACCATAATAGGTATTTAAATGTCCAATTTCAAATATATCAGTTCTTTGACTACATTCATTTTGTGTCACAAACCTATGATGTGTCAAATATTCAATCACAATCCAAATTCAGAGCTGTTTTAAGTTTAAATGTAGTGTCCATACTTGCTCAACTGTTCAGGGTTCGACCTCTGCAGGAAAATCCGGTTTGCTGTCTCTCTGACAGCCTCTTGTTTTTTTTTGTTGGTGGGGGAAAGGGGGTGGGGGGTCAATCCACAACAACATAGTGTATTGCATAAAAGCAAAAAATTGAATATAAATTCAAATCGTATAACCAATTCTAAGTTCTTTGACTACAGTTATTCGGTGTTAGAAACCTATTATGTGTCAAATATTTAATTACAATCCAAATTCAGACCTGTATCAAGCGCGAATATTGTGTCCATTTTCGCCCCAACTGTTCAGGGTTGGACCTCTGCGGTCGTATCCATCTGCGCTCAGCGAAGCATTTTATTATATGAATTACATTCATTTTATAATATTTGACATGTACAACAGACTGTGTAGTCTTACCCTTACTTGACCATCCTTTTTTGAAAAAATAAATCCAAATGAATGACCTAAGTAGTCACCTATGACAAAGATGTTGCTTTAATTAAGAGCATTTAGTTGTTAACTTTATTTTGAACAAATGTTATGTTCCAAATAAGGATGTTAGAATTGGTCAATATAAAAGGTCTTTTCAAAAAAAAAATTTTAAACATATTTTGCTAAACAAAGAAGTGAAATTGCCATTTTATATGACAGAAAAGGAAAATGCCAGTAAGATGAAAATTTTCAAGAGTTGATTTTTCATTGATCTTTGTAATTACAGAACAAAACCTCGAGTAATAGGAGCAGTAGAGGGTGCCATGTCTGCCAACAAAGACAAAGTAGTCAAATGGCCAGATGATGTTCAGTTTATATTGTTTGGGTAAGACCTATGCCATATTTAAGATTCATTTTTTAATGTAAATACATGTTACAGTCAATTGATACCTGATATTTTGTAATGCCTACCTGTATTATACTTGTTGTGGTCTGAATCTACCCAAAAGACATTTAGAGGTGAACATGCAGCTTTCAACAATAGAAATTTTCTGTACAATATGACAAGTTTTAAAATGCCCAGAGTCTAGAAAAGAAGTGAATAAACTTAAAAGAGGCTCTTAAAGATATGACACCAAATTCTTTAAATGGCAACATGCATAAGTTTAAACAAAAGACAACCACTGATGAGGTTCCTGACTTCATAGGACAGGCACATGAACATATGGCTGGGTTAAACTTTCATTTTTTAAGTTTCAACCATCCCAATAATCTCAAACAGTGGAATACTAAAAAACACATAAATGAATGTACAATAAATTTCAATACAGGAATTGCGGTATGTGAAAATAGAATAAAAAGTGATGACATTTTAGGTAGAAATTTAACATACAATTTGATTGCAGTCAATGGTATACTTATGTACACATTTGAATATAATTTTATGGTTAAGTTTTGTATTCAGAAAGAAAGTATATTACCAGGAATTTAAGATGGCAAAGATTGATATTTTTCAGACCATTTGCAAAATGTAATCAGCATGAAACAGAGAAAGTAGTTCAGGAAGTCTTACAGAACGGTGTTACCTATCCTGATGTCACAGTATTGGATAGCCAATCAATGCCTGTTTTACATCAAAGCATGGTAAGAAAGCCTACTATTGACATAATATTGCCACTGTTATTATTTACCAATAAAATAGTTGATCTGTTGCTTCAACTATCTGTTTATTTATAATCTTGCATTTAAATTAGAATAAAATGCTTCGCCGAGTGCAGCCTGATACGACGGCAGAGTTCAAACCCTGAACAGTTGGGGCAAGTTTGGACACAATGTTCAAGCTTGATACTGTCTGAATTTGGATTGTGATCAAATTTTTGACATAATATAGGTTTCTGACACAAAATAAATGTGGTAAAAGATCTTAAAAATTAGAAATGGGACATTTAATTTACCTAGTATGGTCTGATATCCAAAATCTAACAACATGGTTAGATTCAGCATATAAAAAAAAACCCAAAAATTTTATTTTAATTGAAATCAAACAAAGTTTTATTTTGGATCCTTCAAACCTTAATATGGACTAATTTGAAAACAGGGCCCAAAATAAAAAAATCTAAATGCACAATAAGATTCAGCATATCATAGAGCTGCAATAATTCATGAAATCAAAGTTTTAATTTTGGACCCTTTGGACCTCAATGTAGACCAATTTAAAAATGGGGCCCAATATCCAAAATAGTAATACAAGGTTAGAACCCCCCAAAAATTAAATACTTAATTTAATCCCATTGAAATTGGTTAAAAGATTTGTATTTTTTTCAATTGAAGATTTCTTGCTATTGCGCAATACTGTGCTATTGCGCAATACTTAGTTTATCTGTTATATATAATAATTTACACACCCTGTTTGGTGTGTATCTCCTGCCATATCAGTATTTGTTGCTTTTATATACAAAAAAATATGAAAAAAAAAATCCACCCCAAAAATTACCCCCAAACTCAATCCCAGCCTTCCCTTAAAGAAATGGAACCTTGTGGTACAATTTCAGAGATCCATACATTTGCACACAAGTAATTGTCCGGAATCTACAAAAATGCTTGTTTTTGGCCCCTAATTCCTTAACTGTTGGTACCACAACCCCCAAAATCAATCCCAACCTTCCTTTTGTGGTATTGAACCTTCTTGTAAAATTTCATATAGAGATCATTCACTTAAACCAAATGATATGAAACTTATACACAATGCTTATTACCACAAAACACAGATCAAGTTTGAAATTGGGTGGTGTCACTTTTACCATTCTTGAGTTATGCCCCTTTATAAATGGAAAAATTGCTAAATCTGTTTTTTCCGTTCTCTCACTTTAGTTTGCCTCAACCAAATGTTATGAAACTTATACACAATGCTTATAATCATAAAAACAGTCTTAACTACATGAATCTTGCATTTGTATGTGGAAGTTGACTCATGCATATTTACAAGTGGGGGTATCTGTGGCCCATACACACATTCTCCATTTATTTTTTTATTGAATAAATTTAATTTTCGATGTTACACGTCTTCTGATCGGCTGAAAGTTTTTTGTCTAGTCTATCAGCTCATAGACATAATTTTGCCATGTGACCGTGAAGTCATGAACCTTTTTTTCATGAATTACTCCTTAAAATGAAATTTAGAATTAAATTATAAGGACTGACTAATTTTTTTTCGGTCTATTCGAAATAACCTAAAAAATTAGTGGGCCATTCAGTGTGCACCAAATTTTTTATGTTATTTCTTCACAGACAGAAAAAATATTACAGCCATTCCTTAAGAAACTCAATTTTGATGGTGTGATTCTGTATATTTGTTTGGAATTGCTACACTTGTAAATGGTGAGATTTTTCTACTTTTTGCTTTCAGTCACCAGGAAGTGAAATAGTGATATTTGGAGAAGTAAAGTTTGAAAGTGATCTGCCAAAGAAATGTTTTGCTGGTCTGTACAAGAAAGAAGAAGATCAAATAGTGGACTACTTCATATGCCAATCATGTAATTTTAAATGTAAGAATATTGAGTGTTTGAGGCTCAGATGTTTGCATTAGTTTTATGATATGTTGCTGTCATTGTCATCCATCTTATTTGATTCTATATGATAAAGATGCTGGGTGCACATCATTGAGACAGAAACCCAAAATCAAAAGTTCACCAAAGTAAAATTCTGAAGGTCATCATACAGTGAGTCTTATATTATGGTTCAGTGAGAAAAGTGTACGACAACAACATATATGACTTATTTATGAATTTTCAAAAGGCTGAAGACTTGAAGAGAAAGCCACAAATTCTTTTGAGATTTCTCACTTGTTACTTGCACATTTACATCTGGCATGGTTAAATTTTTTTGTTTAAATGCTCAGCTAGGCCTATGTTATTTTGATCAGCGGAAGAGCAAACAAAACCAAAAAGGCAAGTTAAAAACAAACAGGACAAAAGGCAAAATAAAAAACATACAATGAACAAGGCTTAAAAAAAACAGGAAAATGTTTTTATTGAGTTATACTTGTAGAACAGAAAAGCAAACTACAACTTAAAAAAAAAGAATTTTCAGTTACTGAGTGGAAATAAATCATTACTTTCGTAAATCTAATATCAATTATTGTACTTCTAAATGGATTTCACATTTAAATATTATACCAGTAATCAATGTATTAAGTCCATATAGCGTGGTATTGTAATTTATGTTAAAAATCCATATCAAGTTACTATATTTTAAATTGGATTTTTTTACATTTTGTACATGAATCTTATCATTAGGCATCTGTTTTTATCCATTTTGTAGATAAAAAATTATTATTTATTTCAGGGATTTGCAGAAGTTGCATGGAAGTTTGTCATAAAGGTAAAAAATTCAAACGCATTAATAATATATGAGCTGCATCAGATAGAAATCAACCTTATGCAAATGAATATCAATACATTTGTTAACCTATTTGGCGTTGAAAAATCTCTATGCAAAGTCCATAACTGTTTGAAAATTGAGTTGTTATAAGAACCCTACAAAACAGACCAAAATTCATCTTTTATTTCGTATTTAAATGTTCCAAAATCAAAGTCTTATACATGTATATGTATACATACACTTGCATAAGGTGGATTTCTATCCAACGCAGCTCATACTGTGGATTCATTATTATTCGTTGGATACCAATTTTCATGGGTACAGGTGATCCACGAATTCAAATGTTCCAACGAATTACAAATTTTCTATATGCTTTGTATACAGAGATTGACAAAACCACGAAATCAAATATACATGAAAACGCAAGTTTTCCTCAATCCACGAAAATTGATACCCACGAAAATAAATGAATCCACAGTATGTTAATTGCAGGTTAAGAATGTATAATTATATAATCTTTTCTGTAGCTAATGTGAACTTTTCCATTACTCTTTTTTTGTCTTCAAAAGGACTTGTTATGGTATTTAATATTCTCTATAATTATTTCTTGAAAGTAATGACAATTGGGATATTTTGCATGGCACATTTGATTGCCATTTATATGGTTAGGTCTCTCTTCATCTGCAAAATTAAACTGTGCAGTGGATGTAAAAGATATAAAGCATTATTAGAGTTATGTCCCTTGAAAATGTTAAAATCAACAAAATATTTACCAGATGAGAACTTGCTTTTAAGCTTATTGGCAAGAAATCCTTCATGTTGATATTAGCAATAATTGCTTAATATGGAATATTGGTAAAACCATGGTTAGCATGGTTCAGGAGTTGTCTCCGCTGTAAAATGGAAATTGTTTGAAAAAAATGATTTTTTTTCCACCATAATATTTCCCCGAATACAATGTATTTTGTATTTTTTAGGACATGTGATCCAACCATACATTATGAATTTTCATCCATCATGGTGAGTATTATTTTCATTCATCATGGTGAATATTATTTTCATCCATCATGATGAGTATTATTAAATTTCTATAAAGAGACAAGTGAGGATATATGCTATTCTTCAAACAAAAGATGTGAAAATATGAAAGGTCACCGTTGAATACTTCAAGCAAAACAAATACTGGGGTTGGGTAATGAACTGCTACAAATAATTTACATGTAAATCCTGTATTTGCTATGTCAATGTATTATATTCATATAGTTCATTGCAGTAGAATTCCTTAATATGGATTTAAGATGAATTTCCTGTCCATCATCACTTTGGACCTACTTTGCAGAATCTACCTATTGTTAATTTGTTCTACTCCTGAATATACATGAAACAACTGTCACTGGACATTAATTAAGCAACAATCAATCAATCAATCTAAACTTAGTTATAAGTACCTTTTATCGTGTAAAAAATCTTATACACTATTATCATAAAACTTCACATCAGTATCACAGTTTACAAAAGGATGAATGCTAAAAGCATACAGGTACAAAAGATAAAAATCACAGATATACAACAGTGTTTATAGAAGCATTTCATTACAATTTTCCTGAAATTCTCTCCACAGTGTTTTTTTTTTTTTCAGAAAGGGTTTAATATAAGGGTTCTGATTTAATGAATTAACACATGCAGTTTCTTCATAGAATTTTCAGTTCAACAATGAAACAGTTAAACTCTCAAAAAAAAAAAATAAAACCTTTTGTTCAGTTTTATATTTTTTTTCAAAGGCTGATATCCCTAAATTGTTTACCTCCATTCAATGGTAAAGATCATGTAGTTATCTAATATGAGTTCTTACTCACTGCTATTAGACTCAGTTTTCTTTCTCTTTTCAAAAACAGCGTTTAGAGATACACTTTAAATATAATAATTGTTTTATAAACCATTCTTTTAATGGTGTTTTATGGGTTGATTTGAGCATCAGTGGTGAGTTTTATGTTGATAAAATGCCTTTCTGGTGTAATTAATTTTATACCAGGTATTTTTAATAGGCATAACTGATTCATGTAAAAAATTAAATTAATAAAAATGACTTGATATCTTTTGTGTTTACATTTGGTATGTTTATGGCCTTGATCTGTTTTCTGCCCTTTGATCGGGTTGTTGTCTTTTTGACACATTCCCCATTTCCATTCTCAATTTTATTATGCTATAATTTGAGAATAAATTATAGACTTCTTTTTTTTACAGTAATTAAAACATTATTATTTTACTTTCAGGGCTTGTTGTTACTGTCCGAAGAACAAGAAATGTATAATAAGAGAATAGAGACATGTAAAAACGACAAAAACATACCTGTGATATATACATAATACTTATTTTTATCTGGACATTTTATAATATAATCTCACAATATCATTTTGTTATTCCTGTTTTTATTCCAGATTAAAAAAGAACCTAATCTATAAATTTTAAATAAAATTGCTATATTAACTTACATTCAAGATTTTTTGAATGAAATGAAGCAATGAGATATGCATTTATTTGTTAGTTATATGTAGGGATTATTTTTTTTTTTATCACAAAAGAAAAATCAAAAGTTTGCCCTGCTTTTGTTTGTGAATGTATTGGACTAATGTTGATGTCCACATGACAGATTTTAATTGACTATTAGTCTGTTATTGGTATGACAAATTTAACAAGTTTGAATTTTGAGTACATTTTTTAGCCAACTATAGGTCATGGAAATTCAGACTGATCAGTGTCCAATCCAGCCAGCATGAAAATATTTTATAAAATCAGGGCCTTGCATTTTACACACACCAGTCAATTAAAACATAAGAAATCAATGCAGTGTTAAGATCAACACAATATTGTATGGTCTGCATGGAAAATCAACAAATGGGTATGTGTAAAAAAGTAGTCGGATACATAAAGAATCATCACATAGTTAGACTTGTTCAACCTCCACATTGAAACAACAACTTTTTTGGAACTCTCCTATTCAAGCATGCCTCCAGCTTACAGACTGAGTTGAATACTGCTTAACAAGATATACAATGATAATGATAGCTTCTTGTTAGATGAAGTGATATGGTATCCTGTCATATCCTGATTCTGTTATATCAGTTTCTGAATTCATTGTGACAATAAAAGTGTTAGATAAGAATGTCCATTTTGTGGATGCGTATTGGTTTTTTGATTAGTTGCTGTTCAGTATTGTGCTAAATAATGTGACAAAGTTCAGTTTACTGATGTCAGTTTTTTGTCACACAATGATACTGTTGATGTTCTTGAAAAGTGTTTACATGTCCCGAGTCAAAGACATTTAACATAGACTTACCTAAGCATACACAAAGATTTATAATCAACACCTAAATATTTATTTAATGGGGAAAAAAAGAAAATACTAACAAACACATAACTTTTTTACTTGTCCAAATCAGAGATGGTATGAAGTCTTTCTTGAAGATGAAGATGCTTGCAATTTCTGAGTCCTGTATTTTTTGTGTATGGTTTTTTTTTTACCTATACATATACAATTCAAATTGATTAAATAGCAATAAATAAACATAGTGTCAAAGGTATATACTATGTCTCACAGGAGTGCAGGTGAGACAGAAATATTTCTATTAACCGTGTGATAATAAATCAGCAGGGTAGAAATAAGCTTTCTCATTCCTTAGTATAAGGTTAATAATTGTCGAATTAGGTACTAGGTAAAAATTTATCTCCTTGGCAATCAATCTGCTTCTTCTTTTTTATTGAAATAAGAAGCAGTTTTGATACCAATTAACCAGTGTTTCTGATAGGATATACTTTTGAACTGGGTCAAAAGGAGATTGTAATCTTACATTTATTAGAATTTGCATCAAAAACCACTTTTATGAAGGTCTGTCTCCTGGACCTGGTTGTTTGATGCTTAGTTCGCATTAATTTTCAATGGCGGTCGAAGGAAAATTAACGAAAATTAACAAACTTTGATGAGAGAGTTGGAAAGGAATATGACATTTATAACAAATGGACCAAATGTTAACTTAGACCATTATAATCACGTTTTAATGAAGTGAAACATTATTTTGCTGAATGATGGTATGCTCGAGGTACAAGTGCTGGAAGTGGCATAAACAGTTGTTATATCATACGACCAGTCTACAAATTCAATAGGCTTAGTTCTTTATTTTATTTCACACAACTGGCACTTTAACAAGTAGTGTAAAAAAAGAACGAAAATGGCACTGGTAAAAATACACCTTTTCACTCCAATTTCTACTTAATTCATCTAGGTCAATTGGAAAACATTAAAAATGCAAAATACATATATAAATTAATGTTTTGAAACTTCACTAGTCCACCATTGTCTTTAAGTGAACTTGTTCTACATCGATTACTCATAAAAACATAGAAAATTTATATCAGAAGAAGAATCTTCTTCGACCAGTTTGGCATGAATGTAGGTCACAAGAATGACATTTTAGCCATAGCATAAAACAATTGCTTAAAAAATCAAAGAAAAACTTCAAAGCTGTAGATTATCATTTATATAAACAAAAAAATATTGCACATTTTTCATTTGACAGATATGTTATGCTTTGGATGAAATAAGGCATACTTCTGTTAGTACACTATAAGATATTTCTCTGGGGAAAAAAAGAGAGATCAACTCTCATCCTTTCAGGACACAAGAACTGTTTTTGATAAAATGAATCTAGTATGTTGTAAATCATTTCTCTGAAAGAAGAGTAGTAACTCTAATCTTTCCATCCATTGCTCCAGTCAAGCACATCTGAGTATCAATATTAGGGAACCAGTCTACTGTAGTTACAGAAGATGTGTGTCCCTTAACTTCCATCACTCTATTAAAGACTGCATTTTCTCCAGTTTTTATCTGAAAGATAAAAACAAATGTGATATATTACTAAATATTGTTTAACTTTAGGTTTGCGTAAATTGCTTTTTAAATCAGTGTTGAACTTTATGCCTGAATGATGTGTAGAACAATTGGTACTACTACTACTGGGGTGTTTAATCACCTACCCATGAGGACCTCGCATAGTTCTTCCTGGCTAACACCTTATAGGACATGTAATATAATTTACTTTTGCCTTACCATATGGTTAAAAAACAAAAATGTACAAACATTTAGAAGAAATGAAAACCAAAAATGGAAAAAAAATGCTTGAATTAAAAAAAAAATCAATATAAATATTGATTCTGAAACACAAGGGGTACAATGAATAAAAAATTGACAAGTTAACAAAATTAATAAAAAAAAAATGGACTTGAATTTTTTATTTCATATTTAAAATTGTAAATAAGAAATATAATAAACTCAAATATATTTAAAACAATTGGCATCCAAATAAACTATAATATTTGCCATCTCTTTTCAATAATCATCATTTAAAAAATTGGTGATTGATTTTTTTGGTCCTGACTTGATACAGATTTTACTGTGTTCAGAAACCTGTATCTGTATGAAATCATTTTAGTTCTATATTTTCTATGCCTCTTATGTAAAATCCAAAACATACATAAAATTACAAGACACATATTCTTCAACTTTAAACTTCAGTCATCTCATCTGGTTAAATTTGTATTATCAAATTGGCAATCTGGTGTAACATGTGAAGCAGGATATCTTATCTGTTTTATACCACCTGTTGTCATTCACTGTTTTCAAGGGACTTTAATTTCTGTGTTTGCTCTTCGTAAACATTTATTTTTGGCAGTAAATAAATCTGTCTTGTTGCTTCAGATTTGTCTTGTTTATATACTGCCCTCAATTTTTACATTTTCTGATTTCTCCTTTAACATATGTGACCCTCCAGGACATTTCCAGGCTTGCGGCAGTAAACGTCATAATGAGAAAATGGTGTAAAGTCATGTAACGTAGTCGGGGCACCTGTTATTGAATGATATTATATCACAAAACGGTAAAATAAAGTTTGTTTTAGGTTAAAATCCCGTTTAGAATTGCTTTCTAATTTCACACAATTTATCTTTTAGATTTCATTGCGTAAATCACTTTCTCCAGCATCATTAATGTTTTTGATTATACAAAATGGTTTAAATTATATCACCATTGTGAGATATTATTTAGAAAAATAATTTAAAGTTTTCTTACACCCCCTTTCACCTACATGCCCTAATAAATGATCTTGCTGTTTAACTGTTCCATCTTACTCTGCATTAACAGATCTTTGATTTAATCACTTTGTCAGGATATAAGTACAACATGTATTCACAATAAGATAATAGATGAACCTAAGAAAGCATATTAGATAATACTACAGTTTCATTTTGCTTCAATAAAAAAGACTAGACCTTTTTTTTTTTACAATCCGAATTTTGAATTTTCAGTATTTGATTTGAATTAACAGAAATAATTCCTTTTTCAATACTTGTATGTGCCTACATGGTTCATAATGAAGTTTGATATATAAGTATCCGATTAATGAATACATTTCACTATAATCACAGCAACTGTCACACAAGTGAGAGGTTTAGGTAGCAATAAAACCAGGTTTAACCCACCATTTTCTTTGGAAAGTGCCTGCATCAAGTCAGGAATATGGCAGTTGTTTTTCACTTATTCTGTTATTGATATCGTTTGATTTTGTCAGTTTTTATGGACTTCCCCTTTTTGAATTTGCCTTGAAGTTTAGTATTTTGTTATACGTTGTGAAAAAGCTATCATGAGTAATGTGTGTCACAAATGCAGTTCATTTTCTCTTTCCTAACTAAACGGAAATCATTCATGCAGCAATCTCTTTACTTTAGCATGAGAACAATGGGAAAACATAGAAATCTTTACTTTTTATTATCAATCAACTCTAAATGTGAAGCTTTGAAACATTTGTATCATGAATGTTTTTAAAGTCTGAAGTCTGATTTTGTCTGGTTTATGAATGTTCCACTGATAAAACTGAAAAACAAAATCAGTAGCTGTTAGTTCCCTTACAGCTTAACTTACTGTGACTTGATTGTAAGAGTTGCTCTCCATCTATTGTATTTCATTCAAAATTCTTACCCTATTGCAATTTGTTTTATGAAAACAAACTGTTCAACTGGTCATAAATTTTAACCAACTGCTGTAGAAAACCACAGTCAAGTCATCAAAGTGCAATGAGATAAAATAAAGCATACACTCCTATAAGACTTTAACTCCGCTTCATTGCTAAATGTTAAACCCGCCACATTTTGCACCCGTTCCAATTCAGGAATCTCTATCCTTTGTTAGTCTTGTGAGGCTTTTAAATTTAGGTTCATTTGTATTTTTCGGTGTTTAGTATGGCATCCATTTCGCTGAACTAGTATACATTAATGTTAAGGGGCCAGCTGAAGCCAATATCCGGTTGTGGGATTTTCTCCCTGAATTGAAGACCTATTGGTGGCCTTGGGCTATTTTCTGCTCTTTGGTCGGGTTGTTGTCTATTTGACACATTCCCCATTTCCATTCTCTATTCTATGAAAATGTAACTAAAAATTTCTAGACATGTTTTTATTGTAAAGGGTCATTAGAAAGCTAAGAAAAATTGACATTGACCTTGCAGACAGACATTCTGACCTTGTTTGAACATACAATGTCTGGTGGTTGGCAACATTAACTTCAAGCATCGCTATTTACCTTTAAGGCATTTAAAATTCCGATCTGACTATATATATTTAAACTATGTTTGCGACTTTGACTTTGAAGACATACATTCCAACCTTAATTCTTGACACAATCTCTGGTGGTGGCAATATTGATATCAAGTATTATTAATATCTTTGACGGCATTTAGCGTCTAGAAATCAGAATTTTTTAGTATAAATCTTTGAACAAGCTAATTTGGTAAAGGTGGAAAGTCTAATGGCCTCAAAATCTATTTACATAAAATGCAAGATATAACTGTACTTTCCTTTTCAGAATTTTTCAAAGATGGCGACAGTATGTTTACAGAAAACTAAACCAAAAATAATGTTTACCTTTTCATCTGTGCCTAAACTGTAGCACATGTTTTCATCAGAACTAAATTGTAATGATAAAACTTCTCCTTTGTGAGCCTCCAATTGTGAAATACAATTGTTCTGCTGCATATCGGCAAAAAAGGCTCAAAGTAAAATAAAATAAACTACCAGCTGCGATTAATCGATTATAAATTAATTTTAAACCCAACTCATCCATGCCTGCCTGATATAATAC